CCAGAAGCGAGAGGGCTGTGTTTGAAAGCTATCCGCCAATGCCGTCAAAAACTGAGATAATGATAATTCTAAGGTTTATGCGGCCAATTTTCCTTTTTTTCAGTCAAGTTCATATTCTGAGCTTTCGAATTCGCGGTGCCTATGTACATGGTATTTAACCATACGTCAGTCCTGCCATACGCCATCGTACGCCAGCCTACGCATAACCTACCAGGGACTACGCCGAAGCAATATTTCTTTCATGAATACGCAGCTTAATTTCGGCGTACTCGGTACGCCACCCTACGCAACTATACGCAGATCCGGTGTGAAAGGGGATTGCGGTACCTAGGTGGTCATTCAAATTCGTGAATGAACAAGCATGTTTGAAATAAGTGCATTCAATCAAACTATATATATTGCGTTTAGTATTTTGGGGGTCTTTGAGAAAATTGGTTTGCTTAGTTTGTGAATAATGTAGGTTTCGTTATCATGATATTTGCATTACCTTTGTTTATTCTCATTTGTAAACTCTCTCGGCTAAAATGGCAGTCCAGCGCCAACGCTACAGGTTCATTTCAAACGAAGATAGGGGTAGGGTTATTGAAGCCTTTGAGAACGAGAATCTTGACTACATCGAAATGGCAGACCCCCTCGGAATAACGCGAGGCACATCTGGCCAGGTCGATCGTTGCGACCTTCTTGATAGATGGTCGACGTGACAAGCTTCCAAGGGGAGGGAGTAGAAATCACAGAATGGATGACGACCCCGTCCCCCACTCCGTGAACGGAGGGATACCATGCGTGTTTCCAAACTCTCCGGCTCGTAACAAAAGAAAAAGGTCTACCCGTATTGACTTTACACACCGGATTTTTGCTGAAGGGGGGGGGGGGGGTGCTGAAAAAGGCTCGTATAACAAAAGAAAAAGGTCGACCCGTATTGACTTTACACACCGGATTTTTCCTGAAAGGGGGGAGGGGGTCGCTGGGAACACGCATATGCGTACCCTAAATAACATCGAGTGGGTGGGGGGCGGCGGGATGACGAGATGAGAAACCGTCTACAGCATGTTTTAGAGATCAATCCTCTCATAACTTTACAGCAGTTGCAAGCTGATCAGGCCCCTGTTTCATAAAACTTTATATTAATAACACGTTACAACCTGCTTTAATAAGCTACTGAAAACATGGCATCTAATTGGCTGAGAGCAAATTTGTAATAGAAATTTAGCATTTGTTGTAGATAACATTTTTTATGAAACGGGCCCTGGAGGCATCGTTGCCCGACAATCCAGCCGTCATTTTAAGCATAATTGCCAGAGCTCTAGAGCTCTAGACGGCATGTTGATGACTATAAAGTTAAGTGATGACGTGTCAGACGAGCGGATTATTATTCCAGCGTGTTGGACATGCGCGTCGAATACGCGCAATGGTTTTTGAACAACTGAGTGGTGGCACGCTGGCGACACTGCGGCTTCTTAGATGAGACGGGATATAATATCTTGACTCGTCGATCTTTCGGTGGAGCCCCTCGTGGCGTACTAGCAAGACGAGTTGTACATGTGCAGCGTGGGAGGGTCTACAATATGACATTCGATGATGAGGGCCTCGTCCACCACTCAGTCACCAGCGAGACCGTCGCGAGAGATATGTTCAAGGTAGTCCTCGCTGAAACAGTAGGCCTACGTCGATGCGAGCAGATGTTCACTGCCGACGCAACGATCTTCCTGATATATTATGATAGCGCGTCTCGTAGCACGTCCGCACGTCAGAGCAAAGCTTCCCGAAGGTTCCAATCCTTGCATCCAGCTCCTTGTTTTTTCGCCTTTTCTGAACCCAACCGAAATGGCCCATTCGGCATTTAAGGTAGTCCAGAATCTGCCCAGATCTATATATTCCCTTCACACTTGATTCAAGCCGCCGAAGATGGCTTTATCAACGAACCCATAATTAGTACGCTCACAAGCCCAGCTTTTTTCGCCAGGCGTGCGAATTTATTGATAACGCCATCTACGGCTGGTAGCAAGTAAGTAGGGGGAGATAGCATCGGTGTGGTGGACATCAAAATTAAATAGGCAAGATTCTGGACTATATTTTAGGCTGCTGTCAAGAGAGTTCTTGCTTGTCCAGAATGGCAACGTCGAGTTGGGGACCGGGTAGCGGCTTAACAGCTAGGTATGAGCATGCAGTAGTGGAGGTGTGACCGTGTGACCTCACCCATCGTGTGGGAAGGATGACTGTAAATGTCCTTACCCCTGATAAGTGTACACAGGGGTTCAGTCACACCCACATCTACATGCCACGATGTAAGTTAGTAGTGGTGGTTAATTATTTCACCTGCCTGCTAAGAAACCATAAATGCTCGTTAGTAAGCTACCAGAGGACCGATGGCTTTAGATCCTTTCCGAGAGACCTGGTAATGAGGATCAATGCCTAAACAAAGGGCACTACCGCATCAACATCTTGGCCGTTAGCAGATTCGAGGTTAAAAAAAAAAAAACAGTTAAGGTCAAGGTGCATTGCTTATGAACTACAATATGTATCTTTTTTCCCGGAAATTTTGTGGTGGACGTGGGTGTATACAATCATTATGTCTGAGTATTGTGAAATTGTGTATGCTGATCTTAGGATGGGTTTAGTTGTGTGATTTCATCAGCAAAGTGTATATTTATAGAAAGTGTCGTTGTTCTTTGGATCCATAGATGGCACGTGGTAATCAGCGCATCATATCTGATTAGGCCTTCAAAAAAAAGGTAAAAAGAATCAATATAAAGAGAAATTGGGTGGATGGAAAAGGAGAAAAGGGTAGACAAGTTGAGGGAGAGAGATTGGAGAGAGGGAAAGAGAGAGACAGAGAGAGAGAGAGAGAGAGAAAGAAGGAGAGATAAAGGGTGGGAGAGGACAAGACAGATAGGAGAGAGAGAGAGAATGGGGAGAGGGAAAGAGATGGAGAGCGATATAGAAAGGGCGTGATAGGGAGAGAGAAAGGAACACATATTGGTACATATTATACATCATACAAAAGAACAATTTCATTGAAAAAGTATTTTGAAAATGTTTATTTATTATCTTTCGAATATTTTGTTTTTTTGGTCCAGTGGAAGACAAGAAACAACAATATACTGCTGGGGCTGAGTATGGGTTTCCCAGTCGTTTCCTTTCTAACTCTCTTGTATTTTATTTCGTTTTCTTTTAAATTTTAAATTTTGTATTTGCGTTTTGTTTTTAAATAAACGGAAAGAAAATAAACAGACAGCGGACAATAGTGCCTCCCTAAACTGTCAAACATTAATATATGTTATTTTGATGTCAATCTCTTGTGATATCATTTTTCGTTAAGTAAAGAATATGAGTCACGACTTTACATTTGAATGAAAGGATACATTTTTTCGTCAATACTATGAAGCGACAAATCCGTATATCTAGAGAGTAAACGACTATTAAAATTATTCATACCCTTACCAATTGTTGTTATATTTAAGTATGTGAAAAATTGATATGTCCTGATTGATATTTCTTGAGAATGTTACATATTAAAGCTTACATATAAAATTATTTTGAAAATAGTTCTTCCTAAATCAATCAGTCGAAATGTATTCCTTGAAATACACACACACACACACACACACACACACACACAAAAAGTAAATGAAAAACATACTTATTAACTTTATATATATATATATATATATATATCTATATATGATGGATTCGTCAGTTCATAAAACTGCCGTCGATTTGTGTCATATCTGAACCAATTCATTCTTGTCTGAGATGCTATGTAAATAAACAAATATTGACAGAAATTGTTGTTCCTTTTTAAGAGAGTTTTATTTCATTTCTTTTTCTCAATATATTTTTCGTTGAATCATAATGTATTTGCCTGAGTGATAATACAGAGTAGAAGAGAGGAACAAAAAACGTCCCAAATCACTTGCTAATTAAGCGTAGATTTATATCAAAAATGTATTTTTTGATTTGTGGCTAGATGTCAATAGCTTAGAATATGGGGGAGTATGAGAAAAAAGAGAAATAATGAATTTCATGAAATATTATTTAGCCTTATGACATCTCGAATTTAATTGCGAAAGGTCTTCAGGCAAAACGCAGCATCACTTGGTTTAGGGAGAAATAGGACGTTCTAATCACCACAAATACATGGGTTCTATCGGACATTTTACAAAAGTAATAATAATGAAAATAACAATGATCATGATAATGATAATGATAATAACAATAATGATAGAAAGTATGATTATAATAGCAAAGAAGAAACCAATGATAAGGATTATACTCATAATAACAATAATAATAATAATGATAATAATATTAATGATAATAGATTATAATGATTATCATTATTATTAATAATGAATTATAATGATAAACATTAATAACAATAATACAACTAACAATAATTACAATAAAGAATACAATAATGATTTGAGTAATAATAATATTACAATAAAAATACAAATTAAACTTTTCCTATCTATTTGCTCCAGATGAAAGCTAATACTTCGCTATACAGACTCGAACTAAATTATAGCAAAATACAGAAATATAGTAAAATATAGAAATATACCCGATGTGCATTTTGTTTGGAATGCCCCTTACAATTTTCCCATAGGCATGAGCATGCAGCGTACTGCACGATAGGTCTGGTGTTTGAAATGACAAATGGAAAATATTTGAAAATATAGAGAGAGAGAGAGAGAGAGAGCCAGACAGAGAGAGAGAAAAAAAAAGAGAAAGAGAGAGAGAGAGTAAGAAATACATCAAGTCACAACGCTAGAGGGACTAATTTAATCTGGTGAGAATAAATCGAAAGCGCTTATAAAGTTTAACCTATGCCTCTTATGTATTCCATGTAGCGTTGTGAATTGATATATTTTCTACTATTTTCCCTTTGCATGTCGTGGCACATTGTTCCTCCTAGCATTTTCATATATATATATATATAATTGTGTTTTCTTCTGATAGTTAGTTCTTTTGATTTAATAAAGGAGAGATCGTAAAGGTAGGAATCGTCAAAATTGTAATTTATTTCAAAGAATGTGAAAAATCGCATTATCATGATACATTTCGTAAACACTATCACATGAACGTATTCGAATTAATCGACAAATACCGACAATATTCCCAATTATATCCCTTCTATAAACAATCTTGAGTATTCTAAATGCATAATTGGTCATTTGGTGCTCATGTGATCAAATGTAATTTCACCAGGAAAAACAAATATCGACATTTTGCTTTGGTATGCAGACGGTTTTAAACATAACGTGTGAAGATGGCTACTTATTATTCTCCCCTCGGAATATGTTGTATTCAAATATCATAATTTATTTACAGTATAAGAAGTGATCATCTGCTATTAAAACCAAATCAATATGATACAGCAATAAAAGGACAGGAAGTATGAATATCTGAACAATCATATCGACAAAAGGAATGATTTTAAGTGATACAGTATTATATTTACACTCCTATATTTTACTTATTTGAGTTCTACAAAGCTCCCGTACACACCCAATACATGATGGTAATATATTACATGAATTGATAATGATTAAAATCGTTTTCTGTTGTTTGTTTGAAAGACGAATGGTATCAGTTTCGAATTAAGACCCTCAAATACGACGAAAGCACTTAGTCAGCTATCTGATTAAATATTAATACCTTCATTTTTACAACGACTTAATTGACTGAGTACGCACCTGTGATTTTAGAAATATTTACAAGCATTTGCAGGAGTTCACTTTCAAAAACTGATTAAAAACAACATTTCCATTGTTGCCACACGGATTTCAATATAATTCCTTTCGCACTATCATTTAACCAGTCTGATTAGACAAATCATGCAAATGCAGTTATATGTTCACGAAAATAAAGATAATCTAACCTCAACCAATAATATATGAAACTGCTATATTCCTATTTTCCCTCAGGAAATGAAAGTTGAGTAGGCCTAAGAATTTAATTTTAGTTTAAAATATGTGAAGATTGCTATATATTCATCCATGTTATGCTTCTTTCCCTCGGTTTCCATGCCCCTCCCTTCCCCATACCCTTTTACTGCACTTTTTCTCCATGTCCCTCCCGTCCCCTATCCCCATTCCTTTATTTTCTCCGAAAAATCCCCTTCTTTAAGTCCCCCACCCTGCCACGCCCTCCCCTCCCAATTGCCTCTTCCCTTCCCTATGCACCCCTCCCTCACATGAATATCATCTACGCCATGCCCCTCCCGTACTCTATACCCTCCCAATACCCCTTTCCTCATACCCCCTCCCCTTTCCCAATGGACAGATATTGCATAGAAGCACTTGCGATGAGGACCGGATCGGATAAAGGCGACACCGGTTACACCCGGTGAGACGCTCATGAACACGGATCTCGATTCTCGAGACCGATGGTGCTAACGATCTTCTACTTGTACAGCATGGCAGGTCGACTCTGGTAAGTATCATAAGGTGATTCCCGCTGGGTATGCTGAAAAAAAGAAAAAAACAGTATACATATTTCATCAGATTTGAACGGGATATAATGTAAAGGAAAATAAACATCAACGCCAATTTTGAACTGTTGAGTTGAAGAGATAATCGCCCTCTGTTGTTCATTTATGACATTAATAGCAACAGTGTATTTTTTTTACAACGCACATGCCTTTCTCACTTGATATTATCCCATTAAAGCTCAGTGGATAAGAAGCAAGTCCTTTTATTGCGGACAGGTTGCCATTCATTTACACGTTAAAAAAACAGCGGGTTTTTTTTAGTTGCGTCATATCTGAACGAGCCTTGATTGAGGTATCACTCACGGAGACCACAGCACCACATCATCATAGTCATCTATACACAGAGTTTGGCAACTTGGTTTCAGTTGGACTAAACATAGGGAGTGTTTCACAAAGACTAAAATCGACTTTAAGTTGGACTTAACTATGCCAGGCCACTCATGCCACTGGTTGCTCTCCCTATTGGTCTCTCAATTATGATCTTTAGATAATATTTTTTCCTTCACTAATGAACTATCAAAGAATGTAAATTGTGACCATGATTTGTACGTCCCTTGATAGACCAATGCCAGTAAACGGTGAGAGAGAACAGTGGCATGAATGGCCTGCCATAATTAAGTCCAACTTAAAGTCGATCTTAGTATTTGTGAAACACTCCCATGGTGTATATTTGTTTGCATTGCGTTAGCCCGTATCTTATGGTTCACATTCAGGCGATATACGAAGACCACACCGCAAAATTAAATATAAAGTTGAGTTCTGGTAATGCGATTGCATTGTGAAAGAAAAGGTGTGGAATGGATCAGAAAAACTTGATCATGTAGCATGTAAGTATTGGTGTGTACTGCAAGGTTCTGGAGCCATCAAAATCATAATCAATTTGGCCCAGTCTTTGTAAAGTAACAAGCACTGTACACAGAAATATGTATACGGGACTACACAAATGATGTCGGGGCTACTTACCTTGATTTCCTCATCTTTCTATGCTCATTACTCAGCCAGTATACATTTTCTACCAAAATTGTTTGGTAAATGACATTTATTTGTAATCTTGAACATTCAGTGTAAGTTTTGTTTGATTCTGTGAGAATTCATTTTCTTTTTTTTGGTACCAGAACTCAAGTTTATTTGTAATCTCACGTGTTTCACATGGACAACGTTTCACGACTTACATCTCCTGGCGGCGGCATTCCTGCTAAGCCGCCAATAAACCCGTTGATGCAGCAGTCGACGAACATCGCCATGAGTGCGAAGATGAAGATGAGACAGCAAGCGACGATGATGGTGGCGTATAAACCTATGACAGCCTGTTGCCTGGTATCTTCCACCAAGGTAGGCTGGAGGTATACGCTATAGATGGCCCAGGACAACATACCCATGCATATACCGGTTACGGCAAGGGCCAGGAAGTTTACCACAAAGACCGTCATGGAGAACTGTTTGCAAGAAGAAGAAAAAGGAGGAGGAGGAGGAGGAGGAGGAGGAGGAGGAGGAGGAGGAAAAGGAGGAGGAGGAGACGGAGGAGACGAACGAGAAAAAGGAGAAGCAGAAACAGAGAACAACGTGGAGGAGGAGGAACAGATTAAGAAGAAGATGAAGAAGGAAGAGAACAAGACAAAGAAAAGGAAAATGGAGAATGAGGTGATGGAAAAGGGGAAGTAGAAGGAGAAGGAGAAGATTTAGAAGACATAGGAAAAGAAGGATGGGGTGGTGCAGAATAAAAAAAAGAATGAGAAGAATTTAAAACAAGTAGGAGAATACAAAGAAAGAGGAAAGTAGGAAAAGAAGATGAAGAAGGACAAGAAGAGGAGGAAGAAGAAAAAGAAGTAGAAGAAGAAGAAAAAGCAAAAGGAGAAGAAGAAGGAAGAGAACAAGAAAAATAAAAGGGAAAAGGAAGATAAGGTGGTAGTTAAGAATACGAAGAAGTAGAAGAGATAGGAAAAAAAGGAGAAGTAAGAGAATACGAAGGAGGAGGAGAAAAAGGAGAAGAAGAAGTATAACGAAAGTAGACGTAGAACAAGGAGAAGAATAAGGAAATGGAGGAGGAGAAGTATAAGAACCAGAGAGAAAAGAGGAGGGGTGGTGGAGAAGAAGAAGAAGAAGAAGAAGAAGAAGAAGAAGAAGAAGAAGAAGAAGAAGAAGTAGATAACGAGAGAGAAGGGGAAAATACACTTATCATAAGTTCATTTAAAAATGTGAGTTACTAATCCAGTTTGCTGGAAAAATTTGATTGAATACTGGTATGGTATGGTGGTATGGTATATTTTATTTATTCACGGTTAAAACATAATACAATTGTGCCCGCATTCAGCAAAAGCTGTTTTTCAGCAGGGCCGTGATTACATATAACAGAAAATAAAACAATGAAAATACAATTTACCAACAAATATGCAAGTTATAATAAGTGAACATATTTACAGAAATTTAAGTACAAAATAGAATCATAGTGATAAAGTGAGGGGGGGGAATTATCTACGAGATGGAAGAAGTGAGCAAATATCGTGAATTTTACTAATCTCAGTGTTGTAAGATTTAAAAACATTTATAATTCTGATATCGTTGGGTAGGGTATTAAAAGGTTTTGATGCATGATATAATGGACTATGTTGAATAAAATTAGTGTGAGGTCTTGGAAGGGGGATTTGTGAATTTGCGTAACGGAACCTATAGCTTACATTAGTATTAAATTGGATCAATGACGATAAAACAGGTGGACCAAGATTATGTAACAACTTAAATATAGTAACTAAAGCCTGTTTGACCCAGTATTCTTTTAGCATGTCAATTTCAAGGGTTTTATAAAGAATTTCAGTGTGATATCTACTATTCACTCCAAGTACAGATCTCAAACACCTATTTTGTAGAGTTTGAAGTTGTTTTAACCGAGTTTCTCTACCGTTCATCCAAATCGTGCTGCAATAAGCGAAATGAGGCTGAATTAAGGTTTTGTACAGTATTAATGCTATCTTTTCATCTGTGAATTGTCTCATTCGCTTTAGAGCAAAATATGTCTTTAAAACCTTTTTCTTTACATGGTCTATTTGTGGGTTCCATGAGAAATTGCAATCAAGCAAAATCCCAAGATATTTGCATTCCATTACTCTAAGTAATTTTTTGTTATTCAGACGAATATCAATATTACAGAATACTAAGAAATTGCATTGGAAATAAGTCTTGGCCAGATGTTTATAGTAGGATTTTCTGGGAAGTAACTTATACTGCGAGGTTTTAGAATGATCAAAAGAAATTGCACGTGAGTCTGTCTTGATGAGAGTTGTTGAACTGCACACATAAATGGGTAAATGGGACTATACACACGTGTGGAATTAATGTTTGGTCCAAACATATAAGTAATGTTATTTATTCCTTGTCATGCCAATTAACCAGATGTAATCAGATTTCGTGGTATAATGATAGTACTTTACTATGTAAGTAATCATAATTTTTATATTTTGTATTGTCATATCTATATGTGAAATGTGAACTAGGTTTAAAAAGATTAACTATTAATTTGAAAGTGTATGAACAAATTGAATATGACATTCGGAAAATGGTGAGAACATATTTTACTATAAAATTGTTATAACTGAATAATTACAACATGTATTATTTTACGATTATTTGATATTAGTTGTTTAGTGAATTAGAATTAGTAATTAATATGAAGATTGCTAAAAGTATTGATTTCTTTTATTCTTGTATGTACTTATAAACTGTAAACTGAATTTTATTAGTCTCCGGACTTTTTATTCAGCATGTTATTACTTGCAATAAACCAGAATTGAATTGAATTGAATTATGAATTGATTATATATCTCATCTTTTGCGATTTTGAGGGCACTTGAACAGCAACCCTTTTTTCAGAGGATATTTATATTGTGATATTCTTCCAAAACTGATGTGCAAAGAAGAGCAAGATGATGGGTTGCTGTTATTCATATTCCTTGCAAAATTATTATCAAAGCATATTATTTAAAAAAAACATTAGCAATAACATTAATTGGCTCACAATTTAATTTCAAGCTTTACCAACATGAACAAGAGTTTTTCCATTTATAAATTTTGATACTCACGGGTAACTCATATGGTGTTGGCCCCCTCTTCTTTTTCCCGTCAAAGGCTTCTGTGATGTTAGCCATACCGCAGATGATAATCTAAGATATTGAGAGAAGGAAGAACGAACGCTCAGATAATGATGTTAAAAACGGGACTTAGAGAGAGAGAGAGAGAGAGAGAGAGAGTGAGAGAGAGAGAGAGAGATGTGCAGAGAGCAAAGAGAGAGAGAGAGAGAGAGAGAGAGAGAGAAGGAGAGAGACGTACATAATACAGAGAGAACGAAAGAGAAAATGAGACAGCCATACAGATACATATAGAGAAATAGATGTACAGAGATAGAGAGAGAGAGAGAGAGAGAGAGAGAGAGAGAGAGGAGGGAGAGGGAGAGGGAGAGAGAGAGAGAGAGAAACAGACATACATACAAGTGAGTGAAAGATAAAGAGAAGAATAGGAAAAGAGATCGAAAGAAACGCAAATATACGTTTACTATACAAACTGGAGAGATAGAAAAAGAAAGAGAAATACATACATTAGAATGAAAGACAAAGGGAGAGACAGAGAGCGAAATAGAGAGAGAGAGAGAGAGAGAGAGGGAGCAAGCGATCGATGACATACATGCATGATTACACAAACATCTTACATTGTTTACGTTTGTTTGTTTCACTTTATCCTGTCATTTCTCATACAAAAAAATTAGGAAATGTTATTTATGAATGTTATGACGAACATTTGATAATAATTTGAAAATTTACAGATGCGATTCCTATATTTCCTGCTTCTATCAAATCAAAAGATGAGGGTCTTCCTTTTAAAGCCCATCTGAATTATTTGGCCAGGAGGGATTAGACATCCCTGCATGGTCACTGACGAATGGTTATCTTATCAAATCAGCTCTCAATGAACATAAGAAAACGGGATCATTGGGGACCAACGGGTACCGCTTAGGCATTGTTTGTTATATAGAGAGCGCAAGTAGCTTATAAGTAGTGCAGTCGGGCTTTAATACAATTATTTCAAAATTCAGACGTGTCCACTGGCTCGTAACTTGTCTCGATAACGGCGAGAATCTGCTGTCCACCAAAAACTGCAATACGCTCCTATATCTTACACAAAGAGCTAAGTGAATACGTTAGGCGCATTTTCAATACTTGTATTCATAATTAAAAACCCAAACTAACTTAGCAAATCAAAAACAAAACAAAACCGCGGCGGGTTTTTTTTTGTTGATTTGTGCGACGGTTCACCACGTCATATCTGAAAGGCCCTTAATTTTACGGCAGTACGTCAACGAACTGATAATAGGGACTTTTAGATTCTGTACGACGAGAACGTGGACTGCCCTTTTAAGGCAATGTGACGTCCTTTTAAGGCACTGACAGTGACGTCACATTGACTTAAAAAGGGCAGTCCACGTTCTCGTCGTGCAGTATCGAAAAGTCCCTATTAACAGGAGAATACTTACCAAAATCCCAGTCCACATAGGGACGCCTGCCGCTCCGTTCACGACTGGGATGCCAGCGGCTGGAGCGGCAATACCCTCATTGAGATAGGCCGTATCCTTACCGAGGATGGTTAAAACCAGACCCAAGGCTACCATAGCCCCTCCGCTGAATCCCAAGAATTTCTGTCGGAAACGCATCTTCGATGGTGTTGTTTGTCTTGCGAAGTAAAGTCTGTGATATGAAGATGGTTTGGGTAAAAATGAAAATAAACGTTATTAATCATTTTTATATTGATACCCGTCCCCCCCCCCTCCACTCCGTGAACGGAGGAATACCATGCGTGTTCCCAAACTCCCGTAACAAAAGAAAAGAAAAAGGCCGACCCGTATTGACTTTACACACCGGACTTTTGCTGAAGGGGGGAGGGGGGTCGCTGGAAACACGTATATGCGTACCCTAAATAACACTGAGTGGAGGAGGGGTAATTGATACCATGCCTACTCGTCAAACGTACAATCACTACTACTACTACTACTACTACTACTACTACTACTACTACTACGTACAATACTACTACTACTACTACTACTACTACTACTACTACTACTACTACTACTACAACTACTACCACTACGTACAATACTACTACTACTACTACTACTACTACTACAACTACTACAGCAACTACTACTTCTACTACTAACACTACTACTACTACATCTAATTCAATCTGGTAACAATGTTAATAGTAGTAGTAGTAGTAGTAGTAGTAGTAGTAGTAGTAGTAGTAGTAGGAGTATTAGTATTATTAGTAATAGTATTAGTAGTAGTAGTAGTACTAGTAGTAGGGGGATAATACCCCCTCACTCTCTATCTGCCTAAACCCTGTTGCAATGGAGTGACTTGCTCATAACGAACAAATAGCACAGCAACATTACTAGTTTATCGCATAACCATTACATAATTACATTACGTTTCAGTCCTTATTTCAACATTGAAAGGCTGGAAATGCAAAATATGTAAATCCTATCGTAAACAAAAACATATTACCAATTAAAAACTCCACTTAAAAGATTAGAACTGGTAATTGCCTCTATATAATATGTGGAATTATATCGACCATTAACATTTTTCAAAACGCGTTGCGAAAAATAAACGAAGAAATTAGTCCGATTTTCAGACCGTCGTACGTTTTGCGCTGAGTAAAGACTCGATAATTATGTTTAATCTTGATCATTATAAGAAGCGGGTCATTAATGTGTACAAATGATAATGTATACAGCTAATGTTGTCTATGTTGTTAACAACATAGAGCCACTCATCCTCTCCAAGCGCTATAGTTCTCCTTAGAACTATAAGCTAAGAAAGCTAACAAACAGTCCTTTTCAGGACTACACACCCCCAAGAAAGATTACCGAGTCAGAGTCCTTTTCAGGACTCCTCAATCCTCTCTCTCTCTCTCTCTCACACACATGGTGCACCCGCAAGCTTACTGTATAAAGTAAAACAAGTCAGTCAGTCACTGTACAGTGTCTGACAGTGAAGTCTAGAGAGTAAATGGTTCCCCTTACATTACTAGGTCATTACTAATGTTTAAATTATACAGACATGAGTCACATGACATACGTGACATATTCATGATTCCTGCATAGATCTACAGAATTTGATGTTGGCTGCAAAAGAGATACACTACCTTTAAAGACATATTCAGTTGTAAAGTGTAAGGTAAATTTAAGGAATTCATGAAAACAAAGAAGAAAAAATGGACCAACATCTTTACAGGTTGATGGTCCTAGCAATATCTTGAAAATGGTAAGCATTTAATATGTTAATACTTTTCAACTCAAGAGGTGACTGATGGTGTGCAAACATTTTAGAACATTATACAATGGGTTCAAGAATGTAACCAATGGAAAGCGTCGAAATGGATCACGTGTGTGTGCATTAATTTATTACCATATGCATGGGAGTGCATTTCTGTGATAACAATTGTCAGTTTCTTGACTTGATACTCATATTGTCGACCCATCTTATGAAATAAATAATACATGTTTTTAGCTCGTGTATTAGTGATATGCACTCGCAACACGCATTGTGTGTATACTAACCTAACCGCGACCACTATTCTCACCGCCAAATGTACATACAAATGAACAACAACCTAGCGTAGAGATATAGTTGTAGAGATCACTCAAATAACAGAACTCAAAGGTCAATATGCTACAATGATTTTTCTATGAGTGTCTCGATCTCTTGTGGTATAGCAAGAAACAGTACAATAGTTCCTACGCCCCAAATATGGACCTATAATAAAAGGAAACTATTTACCCCGCGCGTTGAACCATATCATAAGAAAATGGAAATATATCGTCAGGAGAGAGAGAGAGAGAGAGAGAGAGGGAGAGAGGGAGAGGGAGAGGGAGAGAGAGAGAGAGTGAGAGAGGTGTGGGGTGGATAGATATATAGAAAGAGTGAGAGAGGGAAAAATAGGGGATAACAAGATTAAATTATGTGTGTGTGTGTGTGTGTGTGTGATAGAGAGAGGGAGAGAGAGAGGTGTTGGGGTGGATAGAAAGAACTAGAATGAGAGAGGGGAAGATATGGGACTACAATATTTAATTTTGTGTGTGTGTGTGTGTGTTAAAGAGAACGAATAAGAGAAAGAATTTAGTAAAAGAAATGCACAGAGGTAGGAGGAAGATAGTCTGATGAACAGAAATATGAATCGATAGAGGGAGAGAGAGAGAGAGAGAAGAGGGGGGGGGGGGAGTGAGAGTTGGAGTGAAGACAGAGAGATTGAAATAAATAATGAGGAAAAAGGCTTAAAGGGACAGACGTACCATGGAAGAAATAGGGGCAATATAACAATATGTAACTTACTTAATGATGGGGGGGGGGGGGAGGGGGAGAGAGAAAAAGAGAGAAAGTAAAACATGTGTGAGATAACGATGAGGGAGAGGATGCACAAACAGAGAGATATATATTTTTTCTTTCAATTCCAAACTGCCCATTCGTTGTGTCCGTACAGGTCATGCATGCTCACAGAAATACGTCGAAACGGCTACGCCTACAAATAATTACAAGTTCGAGTTTTTGTTTATTTAAGTATTACCTGTGTCATTCACGGGTGAACGCCTAAGATCACAATTATGCGTGTACTGAAAACTATGCTGTACAATAGTACGTCATAATACACCAATGGGGCGTGGACGGTTTGAAATAATGCGAACTGCCATAATATATCACAGGTTGTAAGACACAGGCGCTACTAATAGCCTAATAACCATAGCTTAATATTTAACACCTAAAAACCCCATTGAGACCCCATATATCAAATTAACTCTAACCTAGCACCTTACGTAACACCCAATTAAGACCTTATACATAAACATAACCCTTACCTAACACCTTACCTTTAACCCAATTAAGACCCTATACCTTAACCCTAACCCTAACCTAACACAGTACCTTAAACCCAATCAAGACCTTATACCTTACCCTAACCCTGATCTAACACCGCACCTTAAACCCAATTAAGACCATATACATAAACTTAACCCTAAACTAACACCTTACCTAAAACTCAATTAAGACCCTATACCTAATATTAACCTTAACCTAACACCTTACCTAAAACTCAATTAAGACCCTAAACCTTAACCCTAACCTTACACCTTACCTAAAACCCAATCAATACCCTATACCTTACCTTACCTAAAATTTAATTAAGACCCTATAACTAAAATTAACCTTGACCTTACACATTCTCTAACACCTCATTGAGACCCGAATTCACGTTGTAAGAATTCATACCCTGCTTAACAGGGTTTCGGTACTTCATTTTCATATATATACGAGGACAAAATTTGCCACTGAATTTGAATATTATTCAATACTGTTCCACCTGAGAATGTTCTAGATTCAATTCCTGGAACAGAATCTGCATATTAATTGTGAAGTTAACTCTTATGGAAAGAGATGATAATTCAATGTCTCCCTCTTTTCCACGTTTCCTTTTCTTTTCTTTTATTCATATTTTCATATTGAATGTGAAAAATAATCCATGTGATATTCCTTGTAGGATATGATGTGTTAACTGTCCATATTCGTTTAACATTCTTTCCAAAAATGTTTCACACATAATGTATTAATTATATTTATTCGGAAATTATTTGAAACGAGACAAATATAGTTGTATTCATATAGTTTCCAATATTATATATGTTTTGGTGCTAAAAGAAATAAAGCAAACCGCAATGAATCAAACAATTTAAAGATAAAGTTGAGTTTTTGTCATGCGATTGCATTGTGAAAGAAACGTTGTGGAATCGATCAGAAAAGGTTGATCATCTAGCATAAAAGTATCGGTGTGTACTGCAAGGTTCTGGAATCATCAAAATGATAAGAAATAAGTCTTGGTATAGTTACAAGCATTGCACACAGACAGAGGTATATGGGACTACACAAACACGTGGCGTAAAAATCCGTCCCGATTTTTACGATGTTACATGACATATTTAGAATATGAAGGCATTTGTAGCGCCATGATTTTCAGGGAACTTTTTTTTGTTATCCCATGTTCTTTCACACATGCATAATACGATGATAACGCTCACATATTGTTTTTCCACCTCTTCCCGAACTCAACCTTCTCTTTAAATCTAAATCACAATGAATCAAAGTAAAATTCGAAAAGGAAAGAGAATAATCAATGGATTCAGATGAAAACTTTTTTTTTAATTTGTCCCGAAAAAACAACGAAATATCTTTGGATATACACCCGGGCTTTAATAGTGGAACAGGGAAGAGAAGAAAAACGGGGATAAAATAATTTGAATAAAACATGTTTACAAACCATGTCGAAGTGTGAATAGAAACAACTATATGACATCATAATGAATCAAATTCCATACATTCCTCACTCGGTCATATATCTTTCAAATATTCTGATCATAATTGTGGTTTTAGTTGAGGAATTCAATTTTTTTTTCTCTTTGAAGTTCAGTCACTATTATGGCATGCAAAATGCCCACTTCACAGGTATTGCGCACAAAGAGTTAATTTTTCTGAATTCCTTTTGTACAAACGGTATCAAATGAATCTCGCATCTACCCCCTTGATGGTGTATACATGTTTAACCCTATTTCTACAGCACCCCCAGCCATAGAACACGAACGTTACATGGCCAGTGTGTGGCTGGGGGTGCTGTAGAAATAGGGTTAAATTATATAGACTGAGTATATAAAAACAAATTTATAAAAAAAAATACTTTTTTAGAACTCGTGGGTATTAAAAGTAAGTAATATACTTAAAGATAGTATTACTTCATAACTTATGCATGTGGCCATGATAGCATTTCTAGCTGGCAGATAAATTAAGCCTTTAAGCAAGTTATCCAATAAACTCTATTTCTGCTACGACGACCACGATTTTTACTCCATACGTCCACGACTGCTATTTACTACTGCAACTGCTTTTCCTACTGCTATAAGTACTATTACTACTTATATTACTACTACTACTCAAACTACTACTACTACTACTACTACTACTACTACTAATACTACTACTACTACTACTATTATTATTACTGCTGCTACTATTACTGTTACTATTACTCCTATTACTTCTACCATCACTACAACTATTACTACTACTACCACCACTACTACTACTACTACTACTACAACAACTACTACTACTACTACTACTTCTACTACTACTATACTGCTAATACTACTATCACTACTTCTACTACTACTACTACTACTACTTCTACTGTTTTTACTATTACAACTACTTCTACTACTACTACTACTACTACTTTTTCTGCTTCTACAACTACTACCACTACTTCTACTTCTACTACTACTACTACTACTACTACTACTTCTACTACATACTACTACTACTTCTACAACAACTACTACTAATACTACTACAACAACTGCCACATGTTCTATTTCTACTACTACATACTGTACTAACACTTCTACCACTTTTGCTATTAATACTTCTATTTCTTCTACTACAATATTCACATTGCTTTATACTGTTCTGTATTAAAGCACTAGTAACGTTCTCCGTTTCCATCTACACTGATAGAAACATGCATATTCACGATGTGTTATTAACCAATATTTCACTTTCTCACTGTTATTCGTATTGATGGTGCCAATATGCGGTTATGGATACTGCATCCATATACAAGTAGGCAGTACATATATATTGCGTTCAACGCATGTTTTGTTCTACCAAGAAATGAAAAAAATGACTGCATACGAATACCATAAAACAAGAGGAAGTCCATATCAAGCATTATACAACTATCAATGATTTATCCGTACAATTGAAATGGTCCCAACTCCCAACACATCCATACTTAAATTGTCATAGAGATTAAATCGATAATGACACCACACCAGAAAGTTCACGTTTATTTTACTAACAAATATGAACACTCTAATGCTTTTTTTTACAGACCACCTCTTTTCCACATTTTCAATGTCTTTATAACTTGCTTGTTATTGTTCATGAATTAATTGTTGTTGACGATGAACTTGTTGTCACTTTTCATGAATGTATTGTTTTCATGCACGTGGAAAGAAATAAATAAATCTTGAATCTTGAAAGAAAGTCAACTTACCGAAATATGTCTAGCGCAGATCTGTAACTAAAAGTGGCGTTGGGGATAGACCGACACTACACAGCGTTCCGCAGTTTGTACTTTAACCAAATGGCGTACTGACTCAGTACGTGTGCATGCGTGCGCTGTCTTTACAGACGTTATAGCAAGGTCAGGTTTTTCCGTGGGAAGCGTAGATTGTGGGTGGCAGTGCGGGGCGAGTTGAAAATGGGTGTGTCCACAGTGGGAGCCTTCGTAAATCGGAACGATTAGCATGAGGCCTTTTTTGTTTGTTCTTGCATTGGATATGGTTTGTTTATGTTATTTTTCAATCAAACCTTGGGAGTTTGAATACATTGTTGCTCTAAAAGTTTGAATATATATATTTATATATTTTGTTTACATCTGTCCATGTAATGACAGTGGCACTATGATCTATTCTTGGTGGATGATATTTTCTCAAAACTGTATTTATCAATCTAGAGAGTCATTGAGATTAATCAATAAAGTTCTGAAATGTATAAAATATCTTTATCAGGAATAAACCATACTGTCAAAATCAATCGTGAAAACTGGTATGAAACGAATGAAGCTACATTATAGGCATCAGCTTATAATCACAGAAGAATTATGAATGAAAACGTATCGCGTAAACTGAGATCCTCTCATATATATAAATTACTTTGGATTTGGAATAGAAAAGTTAACGTCATTGGAAACATTGAGTCTCGGGTCCCTTCTTATAAAGCGGACCCTAAGACAAAAAAAATTAAGTCATATAACGGTTCCACCTATGTATCTTAACTTTCACCAAGAAACATCCCACCATCTTCTAGTTTAAATGTCATTTCCCTGTGTTTAGACAGGCCCTCGCCTGGACGTGTCCGGTAAAATAACCGGGTTTTCATAAATTATGTCAGTATAAATCTGGTGTACCTGTTGAACCAAATCAGCCCCCGAGGGAGTTTTCGGATCACTTCCGCTTTGCAATAGTCGCTTACTAAGTAGGCCTACATGAAATTAATTTTGACATAGAATTATCAATATAATCATATTATAGATTCAGCATGCAACACGTAGTCGTTTTGGATGTTGTCATTTTACAGGTATTTGAAGAATTAAAAGAACTATTCGAATAGATTAAATAAAATCAACGAACAAATGATGTCTGGTTCCATGTTATCTAAACTTTTCCTTTTCTCTAGTCTGTCCAGTATTGAATTGATGTGTGTGGGTGTGTGTGTTCGTGTGTGTGTTTGGGATTTGATGCCAGTAAATTGTAAAAGTGATCCATTTGTATAGGCCTAATGCAACACGTCGTTATTTGCGGAAGTTCATTTTTACGAAAAAATTTTGAAAATGTGAGAGGGTTCAACAATTTGAAAATTTGTTGATTTATTCTGAAGGGTCATTTCATCTAAAGGTTTATAACGCCCAAAACGAAATAAAGTTTATAATTCATAACAAATGTCTATCGGCCTACATAATTCAAACGGAAGCTGAAATTTGTAAGCTATTCTTCTAACTCCGTACCGCAATTTCTTGTCTTAAATCAAATCAATAGTAGGCCGATGAATGGAAAATATTTGGAGCAATTCATCACGGGATAACGGAACGGAGATCATACCTACCGTGTAGCAACCTGGACGAAACCACCAACTATTAGAGGACCCAGAGCGCTGTATACACATTCATCAATTAGTACACAGATGCATTCGTTCTGACAAAATGTCCTCTCTTTCACAAGTGGTGGGCTAGTGTACACCATCTATTATGATTCATAAATTCCATATTTAATTTCTTTTCAAAAGAGAGAGATTCCTTCTTTTGTATCTCTCATTTGGGGCTACACCTATCCTTTGTTGGTGTTCACCGAGCCTTGATTTCGTTGAACCTCTGGTGACTATATCCCGGTCCTGTTATTCCTGCATTGGGAGTTCGCACGGCACATTAATACCTGGGGGTGTTTCACAAAGATCCCAAGTCGAACTTAACTCTAAAGTTGGATTTAGATATTATGGAGAGCCATTGGTAGCCTTAAAATAAAATATATTCAAAAGCGAAAATTCAAGCATTTTAGACTTTTTATAAATTCCACATCAAGAACATGAAATCTCCTTGATAATAGAAAATATGAATGATTCGAATCAACATTTTATGCCTTTTAAAATAACTTTTACAAAATACTTTCATAGATGATAATGGCTTTCCATAAATTTTGAGTTCAATTCAGAGATAAGTTCAACTTAGGATCTTTGTGAAACACCCCCTGGTTCGTTATTGTTGGTCTTAACGACCGATGTGAGTAGACAAACACTACCTCGTGAGGAATATTCCCAAGATAGAGATAGTGATACAAAGTTTCAGACAGTGCTTTGAAAGAGAAAACACACATGAGACGTTTCTGTACTCCCGCGCGCAATGACATAATAGACCAGTTCGTAGTTAGCACATGGTGGTTCAGATGACCCCAAAAAGCCACAGTTCTTTTAAACATAGATAAATCCTACGTTGTGCCTTTTGGAATAATCACAGCTAAAGTCATGGAGGTGATTTTTTGTGTGCCCCCTTAAAAGTATTACTTCCACCTGTGTTCAATAGAATGTATCACAGGTGCATGCATGAATAATTATTACATAACTTTCTTGAGCATGTACCTAGTATTAGTCTCAGTGGGTTTTACACTTTGGTTCAAGTAACCTTGATCTGCGCATGCTCAGATTGTATCTACGAACTGGTCTATTAAAACACGGCTAGAGAGCACAACATGACACCGACAGTGTTGTACTATATAGCTAATCTGCTGAATAGTTGTCAGAAGGCCTATGAGACCGACACAAGACCGACAGACTTCTGACATCTTCTTTAGGGTTCACTAAAATGACAATAGGGACTTTTAGATTTGCACGACGGAGAACGTGGACTGCCCTTTTAAGGCAATGTGACGTCACGGCCAGTGCCTTAAAATGACGTCACATTGCCTTAAAAGGGCAGTCCACGTTCTCCGTCGTGCAAATGACATGCATCCTATTGGTACATGTACGTCAACCCATTGACCTACGACACATCGGTACAAGCTCCATTCGTTATCATCCATCTCTTTTTTTTAAGGGTGAGGATACAGGAAAGGCCTTTTTAAAATCAGACATGGAACCTTTGCAACATTTTAACTGGCTTTTGCTGGGGGGGGGGGGGTAATACCACTTGCAAGGTCCTTGGGAAGAACAGCATTGAAGCTGATAAGGCATCCCCTGGTAAACAAAATTATTGATATTAGTTTTCCGGGGATTATTATCTGTAGGGGTAGCTTTCCGGTGATGTTAGAGTAGGAAGGTAATTGTCAGACAATAGTCTAGACAAATATTATTTCGTCTATCTTCCCTTATTATGCCTTAATCGGTCTCATGGGCGTTAGTCTCATAGGCTGTAGGTCTCGTTCACCATTTTGAACTTTCTTCTGTTCTTTGTGTTTATGTATTGTCTTTATTTTGTCGGTGAACCTATCGTCAATAAAACCGTTTCAGTCTCCTGGGTCGTCGGGCTCGTTTACCTTTCGAAATTTCTTCTTCTCTATGTTTTCATGTGTATCTTCTTTGTCACAGTTTGTCTTGTCGGCAAAGTAAACCGTGCGTCACAATCGGTCTCCCGGTCTTTCGGTCTATTGGGATGACCCCTTAAAAATATGACATTTCGAATTGGTTTCGTCAACTAAATACTATCTCATTCAGTTCATTTAAGAACCTTGACCGCGGGAGTAAAATAAATTAGGAACCCAATTCACCACGCCCCTCGATTCAAAGAGAAATGTGAGTCATTGGCCCTGTTTCATAAAAACTAGTTATCAATAATGAGTTTCAATAGATGTTATAAGCTAAGCATTTCATTGGTATAGAGCCGATTTGTCATTGAATGTTGACATTTGTATATATCTAGTTCTGTGAAGCAGTGCCCTGATCGTGCGATTGCATAAAGAATGAAACTATCCTATAACTTTGGAAAGTTAGAATCATTAGAATGATATTAAAGTGACTATAAGTATATATGCTGGAAGTCGTATAAAGTTAATAAGCGCACTGCACACAGATGTGAGTATGTTGGGCTCTACATCCACTTGGCAACGAAATCTGGTCCAAAGATTTGAACAATTTCTAGCTTTTTTATTTTCGAGGTATTGTATTGTATTGGTTTATTGTGATAAAAATCATCGAGCATGCAGCTGAAAGCTGAAATTGTTCAATTCACAGAGTAAAGCCTCGTCCTGATGCTAAGAAGCCCCGCCCCATCCTGGTGAAATTCACCCAGTATAAGAAAAAGGCAGCCATGATGAAGGATAGGAGACGTCTGAAGGGTTCTGGAATCTCGATCCAAGAGGACCTGACTCAGACGAATCACCAGATCCTGATGAAGCTTGTCAACCACCCCAAAGTTGAGGCTGCTTGGTCCATCGACGGGAGGATCATGGCCGCCTTAAAAACCAGTGAGGAGGGAATTTCTATGAAAAGGGCCTTCTCTTCCCTTCGACAAGTTTCAACCTTGTAATGAGTTGAAACGTTTTTAAATACCTAGTAACTCTCTATCAATCCCAGAGGTTTTGCACCAACTCTTTTTCTGAACATTTTTCTTGCTTGTAAGATTTTTCTTTCTTACATATTACACATGTATATATATCCATTGATCTTTTACTTTGTATTTAGTGTTGTGTGTGTGTTGATATGGGTGTTTGTGAGTGTATGTGTGAAGGCTCCTCCTCTACAATTTGATCTGTTCACTTGTTTGTTGTTTACTTATGTCCTCATGAACTTGAGTTCTATTACCTTGTTATACTTGGTGGTTTCCCATCAAAGCCCAAATTTTTATCATGGATGACAATGTTCAAGATTACCTTGATCATGTAGTCAGTGACTGCAAGTATATGGACTGTAGTGATTTTCAATGTAATAACTTAAGTAAAATATCCATTATGCATATAAATGCGAGAAGTCTTTTTAAGAATTATGAAGACTTTTTAGTTTTCTTGTCATGTTTAAAACATAATTTTTCTGTGATTGGAATTTCAGAAACCTGGTTCAAGCAAACAACAAATACGTGTATGTTTGACATTCCTGGATATTCTCTTTTACAAGTTTGTAGATCTAATAAACGAGGTGGTGGGGTATTATTGTACGTCAGGGATGGTATTGATTATAAGTTGCGTACTGATTTATCGGGCGAGCATGCTGGTTTTGAGTCTATTTTTGTAGAAATAGCCATTGATAATGTGAAATCCATTGTTGGTTGTGTATATAGAGCACCTGATAATGATATTGCTTCTTTCATTCATTCTTTTGATTATCATATGCAGGTTATTGGCCGGGAAAAGAAAGATGTCTATCTTATGGGTGATTTTAATATTAATTTATTAAATTGTGATTCTGATGGCAGAGTAAAAGACTTTGTTGATTTTTTAACATCTTTTGGTTTATTTGCTTTGATTACTAAACCGACTCGTATTACTTCTACTACTTCAACATTGATAGATAATATTTTTACAAATTGTATTCAAGATGATTTTGCTTGTGGAATCCTTTGTTCGGATTTGTCTGATCATATGCCAATTTTTAGTATTAATAAAGGGAAGTCTCTTTCAAATGAAAAGGTAAATGTTACAGTTTTTTTTAGATTTAAGCAAGATCTTCTTACTATTGATTGGTCTCTTCTTTATAGTCTTATTGATGTAGATGACAGTTATAATTATTTTTTAAGAATTTTTGGTAACTTGTATGAATTTCATTTTCCTCTTGTTCGGTTGAGTAGGAAAAAGAAATGTAAAAAACCCTGGATCACCCAAGGTCTTCTGAAATCTATAAATCATAAAAATAAGCTTTATTGTAAATACATTAGGCATAAAAGTGAGGCGAATAGAAAGAAATATATAGACTATAAAAACACCTTGACTAATTTAGTCCGTAATAACAAGAAAAGTTATTATGGTGATGTATTTAAAAGTACACAGAGGGATATACGGAAGACTTGGTTTCATATAAATGATTTACTTGGGAGGGGTAAAAAGGATCCAATACCAGATGAAATGTACCACGGGGAAATTTATTTAAATTCAAATCTAGATAAAGCTGAATATTTTAATAAGTATTTTATTAATTTGCCTGCAAGGATAAGTAGAGAAATTCCACCTGTGCAGACATTATTTGAAGATTATTTGTTGCCTCGGGATAACCCATCCTCTCTATTTTTTAGACCAACAACTGTGCATGAGATTGTTAATTTTGTCTTAGATTTGAAACCATCTAAGTCATCTGGCTCAGATGATATTTCTCCTAGAGTTATAAAAGATTGTATGCATGTTATTGCAGGTCCGCTTTGTGATATATTCAATAAGTCAATGTCTCAAGGGTTCGTTCCTGATAAGTTAAAAATAGCAAAGGTAGTTCCAGTTTATAAAAAGAATGATCGTAAATGCATTGAGAATTATAGACCAATTGCCTTGTTACCAATATTTTCAAAGATTCTTGAGAAATTAGTCTACAAAAGATTAAATGAGTTTTTGCTTCTTAATGATGTTTTGATCCCCCAGCAATTTGGCTTCCGTAAAAATTGCTCCACTACTATGGGTGTTTTAAATTTGGTAAATACAATAATTTGTGCAATTGACAGCGGGAATTATTGCCTTGGAATATTTTTAGACTTGTCAAAAGCATTTGACACAATTGATCATGATATACTCTTAAGAAAGCTCAATCATTATGGTGTTCGAGGTATAGCATTAAATTGGTTTAAAAGTTATTTGGAAAATAGATTACAATTTGTTGTCGTTAATGGTGCCAAGTCTCAATCTAGCAATGTGAAGTATGGTGTACCTCAGGGATCTGTTCTTGGCCCATTGCTGTTTTTGATTTACATTAATGATATTATTAATTCGTCTCAATTATTTACATATTCTCTTTTTGCTGACGATACATGTTTGTTATATTCTCACAAGAATGTACACTCTCTTATGCAGTCAGCTAATACTGAAATCTGTAGACTCTTTACATGGTTTTGTTGTAACAAACTGTTATTGAATACTGGTAAAACTCAATGTGTAATATTTAGGTCTAGAGGGAGGAAAATCCCTGAAAATATTCACCCCTTAGTTGTTGGTGGTCAACAGATCAATCGCAGTCAACATGTGCTATTTCTTGGTGTTACGGTGGATGAATATTTATCATGGAAAGAACATCTTGATAAAGTATGTACTAAAGTGTCTCGCAGTACCGGAGTAATATCCAAACTTCGTTATTTCCTCCCCCAATACACCTTAGTTACTTTATATAATGCTATTATTATGCCTCATTTGATGTATTGTAATATTGCTTGGGGTCACACATTTAGGACCCATGTACATAAGTTGCAAGTACTTCAAAAGAAAGTTGTTAGGTATATAACAAATTCAGAATATAGAACACCTAGTACTCCTTTGTTTTTGCAACTGCATATTTTGCCTTTTGATGAATTGGTATCTCTTAATTGCTTAATATTTATGTTTAAATGTCAATCACTCCAGTATACATTTTTGACTACTGTGTTTGTGGAAAACTCTTCCATCCATCATTATCATACTCGTCAGAGTAGCCTTGTCCATCAGTCATACGCCAGGACCCATACTGCCTTAAAATCATTTAGAACTGTCTGTGTTAAAAAGTGGAATAAGTTACCCCTTAATATAATTAGTATTACTACATTGTCTCGGTTTAAAATATCTTGTACAAAACACCTTTTCGACAGATTGCTATCAGATACATGAATGTATTATAAAACAAGATGAGGTAGCCATGTATGAAGTGTACGTTATGTGTGTGTGTGCGTGTGTGTGTGTGTGTTTGTGTATGTGTTGTAATTGGGGGGTGGGGGTATACTCATCTGCATAATTTGTTATGTTGTTACTATAGTTGTTACATTGTTACATAAACATGAGTTATACTCGTTGTAAATATGTTACTCCTTGCCAATATCTGCCATTATATACCTACTGTATAGTCTACTATGTAAAGGGGCCCCGTTCACAAGCTGTGCTTCACTGGGGTCCCAAACCTATCATTCTTGTATTCCTTGCTGTTATATCTTATACCATTGTTTATGTTTGATTTGGTTTGAATAAACTTGAACTTGAACTTGAACTTAAAAAGTACATGGTATAATATTTCATTGACAACACGTTGAATGGTATAGAAAACTGAAAACATATTGTGTATATTTAATATGACTTGCCAGCTTCATTGATAACATAAAATTGCCATTTGTTTTGAATGAAATAGAAATTTGATAATGAAAAGTTTACAAGTTAATTGCACCAATAACACGCAGGTGAAACATAAATTGGATGTTTACACAGATAAAGTACAACAAAAGATAAAATATTAAAGACAAGTTTTAATATTGGTTAAACAAGGTGATGTTCCTGAACTCAAAGAAATTTGGCAAATGAATCTTACCTCAGAAAGTACAAAGTGAAGAAACCTTGAATGTATTAAATATATTGATGATACAGTTGTACTGATAACATGGACAAGATGTTTTAATTTCATTCGGGATTTCTATACGTACTCTTCCACATGCATCGAGATTTTTTAAAGAACAAAAAGAAAGCGTTTTAATTATTGTTAACTTTTACCACGACTTAACCTTCTCTTGAAATGATAGCCAAAGGCGAGAGAAGTGACATATAAAAAGCGTCATTGAATATTGAATAGAAGTTATACAATGTACGATACGTCATGGAGTTTGTACTTCAATAGTGTTTAACTTTTGGGCGGGCATGCTGCAGATCTATTTTTAGCATCGGCAGCAACTTAGGGTCTCACAAGTTGTATTTACATTAGGAAGTTTGCATTGTAATATTTCATTTGAGGTCGCATCAATTGACAATGTCACCGTTTCGTCATTCTTTGACGTACGAGGTTGCCAATTTGATAACCATTCATTACATTTAGCGATTTATGAAAAAGTACTTCGCAAAAAATCCTTAACTATGCCTTTTGGGGTCAAACTTTGATAATCCTATGTGTGATTCGGCAGTCAATTTAATGACGCAAGTATGCTACAATGTCCGACTACTTGTAGTTTTAATTCTTGATGAAAAGTACATCTCTGAAAATACTGTCATCGTCAAACTGGCAACTTATGAATATTTCATACCCATTGTAAATTCGTACTTCCTGAAGTTGATCATATCCTTCTTCTATGTGACGCCGTATGCACTGAACATCTCACGCTACTCGAGCATATCAACTTATTCTTTGTAAGTATTTCAAAAGTTGTTTTCGTTGGTTCGATCTGTTTAAAATCTTTTTTTCCCATGTGTTCACATTGATATTTAGTCGCTTTATTTAAAGTTTGATTATAATGCAATCATGATATGAACTCGGACCAGATTAAAAATACATGCACATGTCATTAAATTGATCTCAAAAGAGTCAGGAAAATGAAATCAAACCGAGCGGAAATAAGCGGAGGGCCAAAATCAAGTTTCATGTTTAGTTTTGAGTTGCCCGCCACTACCACACAAACTAAGCACACCTTGTTAATTCAAAACATTGCTGTTTTGTCAAACTTTGATGATCCTATTTGTGATTGATTCGACAGTCAATTTGTTATATATACCTGCGTACGTGTATATATATATATATGAGTAAGGGACTGACTTGCACCAGTCACAACTGAATGGGCCCGAATCATAACCCCTCCCTGTGTGATTGGTTCTATACGTGGATGTGTGTGGTGATTTATCATTGGTGATTTATCAGTTTTGTACAGTGTAAGTGTAACCTTAGAATATATTTCTTACTTCTTACTTCATTTATGTACAGAGTTTGATTATGATAATGTACTGAGGGAACTTCTCAACCCACAAGCTTCTGGGTTTTTTTAGTTCCCCCTTTTTCCCTTATCTATTATGTTACTGTATATCAATTGTACTTGTAATTGTATTTGATGTAAAACTTTTTATGATTTTTTAAAAATAAAACAATTGAATTGAATTGAAATTGAAAGATTTTATATTGTAGCGGTCATTCCGAAATCGTAGGAGGGTCCAAAAACGCGGCCCTTTTGATGAAAAGTAGTATTTTGTAAATTACATTTTTCGAAAACCTCAAACTACTTTTAGTTTGGTGTCTTATGTAAAAGTAATTGAAGTATATACAATTTTATACCAATTTCAACATAATTGAGATTAATTTACATCGCCATTGTGAGAAAACCAAGAATGGGATGGGTGTGGGATAAATATTTTAGATTTGAATCACCAATTGTTTTGTTTGTTATTTCAAACAAATGATAAAGACTTCATTTATGTTAATTAGAAAATAGCATAGTTATTCATAGAAACAAATCCGTAGATTCGTATTTCCTGGCCAGATTAAAGAATATTCAGTAAGAGAAAAGGAAAACAAATCGCTCATTTGATATTTATGAAGATTTGTCGTCAAATGCTAGGATAAAATGTTTATCAAACTTTTGAGTTGACGTGGGGTCAACCCCTTATCCATTCCCCTCTCTCTCTCTCTATATATATATATCTCAAGCTACGCCTGTGCAATTAATTTTTACAAGGGGTTTCCACTGACAACACCTGTCATCTTTGGTAGAAAAAAAGATACTTGTATCCGAATGAAACGTCCAGGGTACATTACCCGTAGGGAACTTTGGGCCGGATCAAGGTCCAGTCCATTTGTGGTCTGAGGGCCACTTTATATATACATATTATATTTTGAGTGGGCTGGTCGCATCGAACTTTCAAAACAAATTTTCAATCCCAGCGGCCCTAGATCCATCAAATTAGTTTTTGTGTCAAAGACGTGATGTAGAAATATATTGAGGCTTTTCTAGATGCTGTAGTCTAGTTTTTGTCAGGTCAATAACTTTGGGTTGCTATAACTTTTACTAAAAAGAGATATGAGTCTAGTTTCATTTGCACAAGATATTGTCCTTGTATGTTGGCAAATTCTTGGAAAGTTACAAATAAAGACACCCCTCTGAAAATGATATCAATTTCATCGATTATTTAGTGTTTAAAATAAAGAAGGTAATGAACAAACAGTGAAACTATTAAGGCGAAGACTTTGAAAAACCCATTATTTGGCAAACTGTCTTGACTCCGTACTCTGCAGTGGAATTGGAATCCACTCTTTTAGGAGTCATCTTTAATTGATCACTTTCTTCTCCAATCTGCTCCAAAATAGTGACTAAATAAATCCTTCAAGAGCGGTTTCCACTATTTTCTCGAGTGAATTTTAGTACAGTTCAAATCAGTTCAGTCTTTATTCATTCTCCAATAAATTGCAAAAAAAAAAAAAAAAAAAAAAACATACATGTACAATAAATTAACAACTAAATTATTCATATCTTTACCAAGTTTTGTTATTTTCTAAGAATGTGAAATATTGATTTGTCCTAATTTATGTTTCTTTAGAATGTGATTTATTGAAGGTTGCATCTAAAAGTAATCAACAAAAACCCTTATTCAACCAATCCATCTTTCTTTCTTCAGTTCCAAAAAACATTACAAAATGTATAAAACATTTCAAGCAATACGATAATAGGTACATCCCATAAATTCATACAAGCAGGAGAGTCAACATCGACATTAATACAAAGACTAATGAGGCTTGACAAATTGAAGAATTTGAAATTGATGCCAAACTAAAATACCACTATTGAAAAGACAGGCGTTATGCACATAAATTTAATCATTCAAACAACTGGCGAAGGATAACAAACTATTGTTAAAAAAGTAATGAGTATACCTTTAACATTTTCTTGATTGATTACAGAAATTGGAATTTTCTTTAAGAGCAAGTCCACTCCAAAAAATAACTTACTTTCAATAGAAGCACAAACTGATAATCAAATTGGCAATTTGTTTAGTGATTTTCATTGTTCCTTAGTTTTACATACCTTTTTCAAAAATTCATAACTTTCTTATTAGTTATCCGATTTTGCTCAAACTTTTTTTGATTGGTTTGTCTGATTTTTTTCTGCTTCTATTGAAAGTAAAGTATTGTTGGAGTGGACTTGTAATTTAATTCGAGATGACAAAGAATTCCATACTAAGTTATCCAAAATACCACTCTCGAAGTATTGGTTTCAATTCATGGACATGCAGAAAGCATCCCTTCGAATGGGGGCAGTGTTAGTATTCTAGGAGTGGCCCTCAAAAGTTACCGAACAAACAATAATCATTGCAAAGTCAACAATAGGTAGGAATGCTGCTTGAATTGAGTTTGCATTTGCTCAAGTGGTTTGTTCATCTTTTGTCGTCTGAAAGCCGTGACCTTTTCGTTACTAAGAATATCGTAATTCTTTAGAAAGGGAAGGAATAATACGACATGACAATGGGAGGCCAGTCAATACTATCGTGCGGAGATATTTTAGAGTTTTCTTTTAACCTGATGGAGATAATTGTACATTTATTACCATATGTTGTTGTGGTTTGATTGGGTTTTTAAGCCAAATCAGTAACAATTTACTATTTAAAATGCAAAAAAAATTACGTGGGGCTCGTCCGGGAGTCGAACCCGGGACCTCTCGCACCCTAAGCGAGAATCATGCCACTAGACCAACGAACCTTGGCTTATGATATCTTCATAGTAAGATAATTTGAATGCGTTTACATATTTCAACATTAATGTTTATCTCAGGAATTGCTTTACCTCGAGAATGCATGCATTAATTACTGCCATCTCGGTTAAATCCCTAATACGCCTATTAGATGTAAAAAGAAAATTTTGTTCCAATAATGTACATAAAGATAGTAAACAGGGGGGTGTTTCACAAAGATCCTAAGTTAAACTCATCTCTAAGTTGGACTTAACAATTATGGAAAGCCGTTAGAATCTTTGAAAATATTTTTATAACAGTTATTTTAAAAGGCATAAAATGTTGATTCAAATCATTCAGATTTTCTATCATCAAGGAGATTTCATGTTCTTGATGTGGAATTTATAAAAAGTCTGAAATACTTGAATTTTTGCTTTGGAATATATTTTATTTTAAAGTTAAAAATGGCTCTCCATGATTTTTAAGTCTAACATAGTGTTAATTTTGACTTAGAATCTTTGTGAAACACACCCAGGTTTATTACAGCCCAACTTCTAACTCTATATATTGGAGGAAATTAAACCCTTTTTAAACAATTGCCGCCGTACCATGATCGGACAACAGAAACGTATTACAGTTATTTCAGTTTCAGTTTCAGTTTCAGTTTCAGTTTCAGTTTTATATTTAATTTCCAACAGAACAGTAATTTTGACAAGAAACCAGACATACAATTCAATGCTCAAGACTATAATACAGTTTAAAGTTATAAAATAGATAGTATTCATACATGTCCAGTATAACGTTTTTTTTTAAAGTTTTTTAAAAATAAACCTGTGGAAATGGAGGGGTCCACTAAAAAGCAGAGCTTGTAAAATGTGGATCCCTCAAAATAATGACAAAGTAACATAATTTTTGTAACATGTAAATATATTGACTTGAAAAAAATAAAAACATAATCATAACAGTTGACTGAAGGGGTGTGGGGGGGGGGGGGGTCCATAACCCTCATGTATAATGGCTATATTTGTGGGGACTAATGTGTTGTTTAATTAACGTGATGTATCTTTCTATCTATCCGTCATCCTCAGATTCTTTCCTGAAAATACAAGACGCCACCAACGATGGGATTTCGCAGACGATTCATCGGCTTCACCGGGGCCGTTCAGATATTGCTCACTCTCGCCATGCTCATTATGGCGTCTCTCTTATCGTTCACAACCCTCGCCAACGTCACCAACAACGCTGTTGGTTCCCCACTGTGGGGAGGAATCATTGTGAGTGTTATGAATGAAAGAGAAAGTTCAGTTCTAGCTGGGTAAAAAAATATTCATGAGCTTTCTCATATGCCTCGTGTTGGCAAAATATCGTGATAGAAATTACCCCTGGAAAAGTTTACTCTTATGACGCCATTATTTTAAAAATATGACAAAAGATAAATGAACAAATTTGAGTGAAAATTTGTGTATAGTCCCGTTTACTAGTTTATGTGTGCAGTGGATCCTTGTGAAGATGGAGTCAATTTTATTTTCATTATGATCATTCCAAAACTCCACTGTATTGATACACATCAATACTTCATATTATCAGGTGTCGTGGTATAGTACAAAACACGAGCAGGTTTGTCATGGCAGTGCCAATTTAGAACCGATATGACTCGGTAACCTGGCATGCTCCTATTTTTATCTTTAAAACAAAATATATAATTATTTATAGTTTTTAAAAAAATACCCCAAAACAAGAAAGAAGTCACTTGTATTATAACACATGTAACATTTTTTTTTTCAATTGTTGTTGATAAAAGTCAAATTTGACTGATTGCCATAACACACTAATCAACAAGAACAACAAGTGATTTATTCACTTGACTCTAAACCCATGGATTGAGGTTTTGGGATTCCGTGATATAATGTTTAAATCCCGTCTTTTATCATTGTATTCAATCTCAAAATTAAAAGACGTAACGATCAGTAAATGCACTTTTTAATGAATTTCCCCTCCCCTTCCCTTTTCCTTCCCTTTTTTCCTTTTATATTGGGGTTCAGGTTTTCTCTGCTTTTTGTTCTCCTTTCTTTTCTCTCAACAATACAGTGTATACTTCTTAAGGGGGTTGACGTTCATAAGGCTAATCGCCCTTTTTGTTAACCCCACATTCCCATTGAAAAAAAAAGATATATATATATATACAATGTTACACGGGGAGATTACTTATTTGGCATAAACACATCTAATTGTTGTAATTTTTCTGTCTGATAGATATTGATGTGCGGTGCTGGTAACATAATAGATGCACTAGAGTCACCTTCGAAAAAGAGGTCAACACAAGAATACCACATGTTACCCGTAAGTATATCAATAGTTTTTAGGCTTTGATCATGTAAAGGGGAGGAGGGGAAGGGGAGGTCAGTGTGTGTGTGTTAGGGGGGGGGGGTAGAGGGGTACTTGGCCCTCAATGGGTCATACTGCACTGTTGGTCATAAAGATGGAATATGTGGTTTTACCCTAATTTATGGAATGATTTTGACAATGTTTTATTACTAATAGATCTAGATAATAGTATACATTCTCATATTGTATTGAATAATAATTTGCGAGTGTTTGTTTTGCCTGACTGCTAAAACATGTGTATGCTACTATGCTTATAAACTACTAAGTCATAACTAACAGTAATGAGGATCAATGCCTCACAAATGAGCACTAATATAGCAAATCGACACTGTTTTTTTTTTTCCTGTGGCCTTACAGCTAAATATAATAATAATAAAAACGTTACTTATAAAGCGCTATTACCACTATAGTCTCTAAGCGCTAGTTACTAGGCAATTTCTTTGCCACTGAATCGTGACTGTACGCAGCGGGAGCTAGGGTAGGGGGCACCCTCACAAATACAAATATACAAAGAAAATGCAATCAATTATCAATAATTCAGTGCATTCTCCCTGGTCCGCAACAGAAAAAAAATCCGTTGTGTGGCCATGCCTTGAGCCATAATGCGTCATAGTACCCTTAAATCCATTAGTGAAAAAAAAAAACAGTCAAATCAAAGCAAAAACAGAAAACGATTACAAATTCTCTTCTCGCAGCTCAACTTCGGTACGCTCCTCGCCAACCTGATTGCTTTCTTCGTCTCCGCCACCATCCTGGGTCTCTTCTCGTGGTCGGTGAGCACGGTTATCAATGCATTGGTCGTCCCTTCCTCCGCCATCATCCTCGCCGCCAGCTTCATCTGTATCTTCTCCTTCTTCGCTCTATGTGCTGACTGCTGCCAATTCTGCTTCACACCCCCTCCGCATCAACAGGTAACTAACCCATTGCCTATTGGAACCTGGTGGCGTATGTATTAAGCATATGGTAATGAATGAGGTCAGTAGCCAACGGGTTAAGACTCAATCGAACTGACTTTCGAGAAATCATAGGCAACAAAAGGTCATTATGTAATCAAATTTTTATGCGTTAATCTAAACGTTACATTTTTTTTAAAAATACAAATAAGTGTATTTTAAAGCCCAACTGCACTACTTGTAGCTACTTGCGCCCTAGTTCTACATAGAAAACAATCCTAACCGGTGCCTATTGGTCCCCCATAATCCCCCTTTTCTTATGTTAATTGAGAGCTGAGTTGATGAGATAACCATCTGCCAGTGACCACGCAGGGAGGTCTAATCCCCCTAGGTCAAACTAGTGCAGAAGGGATTTAAGACAATATCGAATAGATTTTCGAGAAATCAAAGGACAAAAGATCCATTTTCATTGTGTAATCAATTTCAACGCGTGAATCTTAATGTAATAAATTATTTCCTTCACATGTTTAATACAAATATATGACTCTATTTTAATAGTCAGAATGCGATTTGCATATATTATATGTTGCTATGTAGGACAAGCCATAGTATTTTTCTTACCTAGCAACATTGTTAGGATGTACAGCGGGTCTTTATGATGACGTAAAGCGCAATACACTTCATCGTTATATGGGCGAAACACCTTATCCAAGGATGTATATAAAGCAGGGTCAGGATTGAACCCAGAACATTTCGTATGAGAGTCTTCACTATTATACCACAGTAATCCAGCAATTTGCAATAAGCCTTATTCTTTTGTTTTAATTTCGTAAAATATCTAGTAACCACTTCTTTTTCATTTTCTTTTCCCGCATCTTTACAGAGACCGTACTACGTGGACTATGATGGGCCTCCTCGTGGTATCCCAAACCAGGTGTTCAAGGCCTAATCTTACATCAAATTGGCAACGTCAACATGCAGAGACCCAGAAGGGTCGTGCTAGCTGTATTCAGTTCATTGACAATATAGCTAACTCTTAATATGATTTGTGTATATGTGCTCCCGTTATCAGTTATCAGTCCCCCGTTATCTATTCGAAATTCAAGGCAGAAGAGGGTATAGAGGGACTCACCCCATTTAGACAAACAGCCTGTGGGATCTACAATACAAAGAAATATATCAGGGAAGCGGGAAAACATTAATAACAATTACATATGTAGCATAGTTTTACACTGACATAAAATATGCTTTCATAATACGGCTAGAAAATAAGGCATTAAAAAAAAAACAGATCTAAACTCTCTCATTTGTTCTATTTTTCTTGTGCGCCTCGGAATAGAATTTTGTAGATAGACGGCGATATATTAATGCCTATTATTATTATTATCATCTAGACTTTGATTTTATGTTTTATGAAAACCATGCCAAAAAGTCGCAGAGCATTATATAGGAATTGTGACTGTCATAGTGCAGTTAGGACATCGTAGCAGTGCAAATATAAATATCGCATGCCTTATCAACCTAGGAAAAGTATTACGAAACTTGTACAGAAAATGAAAATAACCTATTTATTATATTTTAGTAAGTTGGAATGTAGATGCGCTATTAATTGTTGCTTTAATATTTTAGTTACTTTACGTCTATGTACATGGTAAGCCCCTTCAGACTATGGTAAACAAAATCTAAATAATGTTGCGATGTTACAAATATCGCGATGGTGTAAATGAGCCTGACGAAGAATTTCTCGTGTTATTTTTCCTCGTATTTACACATAATGGGGGCATTTTCTGAATACTATACCACCGGAATAAGACAGAAACAGCCGTTAGAAAAAAATTATACGACATGTTGAACAAATTAGGTATTTTTGTATTGGCTTTAATGCTGATCTTTTCAGAATCCTATTTTGTTGTGTTAAAACTGGTGGGGGCCGTTCTCAAAAGAAAAATATTAGAAAAGAAAGACAATATACGTTCAATTTCTCAAATTGTTTAAATCTTGTAAATATTCTAAAGAAAATTTTAAACAAAATTGCTTATGTACTTTGACCCGTATAATTTGTAATACAATGATAAGTACTTGTTTATTTTGTAGTCGATACAAATTATATCGTACATTATCCACAGCAGAGTGTACCTATAGTTTATATTTAGTTATAAGTTATAAAAAGTATTACAGTTTGATTTATTTTTAATGGTACATGTTAATGAAAGATTAAATAAAATTCCTTATGTGTCCTATTATGAATCGTGTAATACATTTCAAACAGTTTATCAATGAGTTATTATATAAGCCGAAGAAAGAGATTTTGATAGAGAAAGGCAAAGGGAAATAACAGCGAGAGAGAGAGAGAGAGAGAGAGAGAAGGTGAGAGAAAGAGGGAGACACAAAGAGAGATAAAGGAGCGGGAAATAGAGAAAAGATAGAGAAAGATAGGCAGAGGTGCGAGCAGAGAGAGAGAGAGGGAGGGAGAGAGAGAGAGAGAAGGTGAGAGAAAGAGGGAGACACAAAGAGAGATAAAGGAGCGAGATATAGAGAAAAGATAAAGAAAGATAGGCAGAGGTGCGAGCAGAGAGAGAGAGAGAGGGAGGGAGAGAGAGAGAGAGAGAGTGAGAGAAAGAGGGAGACACAAAGAGAGATAAAGGAGCGGGATATAGAGAAAAGATAAAGAAAGATAGGCAGAGGTGCGAGCAGAGAGAGAGAGAGAGAGGGAGAGAGAGAGGGAGAGAGAGAGAGTGAGAGAAAGAGGGAGACACAAAGAAAGATAAAGGAGCGAGATATAGAGAAAAGATGAAGAAAGATAGGCAGAGGTACGAGCAGAAAGAGGGAGACAGACATAGACAGAGAAAGAGAACCTGCATTAGAGAGAGAGAGAGAGAGAGAGAGAGAGGGGTATATATATATATATATACATATAAGATAGAGAAGATAAGATATATAAATACTTGTACATTTATTATAATGAGAGCGAGAGTCAGAAAATACGAGAGCGAGAGAGAGAGAGAGGAATATTAAAGAGGGAGGGAGAGAAAGAGAGAAATAGAGGAGATATATATTTATATATAATGAGAAAGGGAAGATAAGATATATTTATAATAAAAATAATAATATTTAGCTTTTATATAGCGCTTAATATAAATGTCTCTAAGCGCTTTACACATTTACTATTACCCCGGTCATTGGATTCAATGCTTGCCCGCATACACTGTGTGCACAATCTCCACTCGCTGGGGAGCATTATATATAATGGCAGAGAGAGAGAGAGAGAGAAAGTGAAGAGTGAGGGAAAAAGAGTAAAAGGATGCAGTCACTGATGAGAATATAATTGTTTATAAATACAAGATGTTGTACATGTGGTATTTATGTTGAATTAACTAGGCAAGTAAGCATGCCAAAAATTTCCGTACTAGATACTTTACCCCTCAATCGCAAAATACAGGTCTGGAAACTTATTTTCATAAACACCCTTGTACTACCTCATTTCAAATCCCTCTAATACTTTTATGAAGTCGCTTAATCATTGATCAAATAGAACTTGTTGAAATCAATGTGACAAGCTTGACTGGTTCCTTGGCATGTCGCGTGTTGAGCGTGGATTATTCAGTGGTGGTGCACCGACACCCCCCCCCCCTGTGAAGTCGTGTCCACACCAGCGAAGGTAGGTCTATTTACACCCGGTCGTAACTTCCATCCGACGTAAGGCCGGAGGTAAGTGGCGGTGTGAACGTGTATCGGAGGTTTCACCCGGTCCGATCGGAGGTAAGTCCGACTATTTACGCAGGCGAAAAGGCATGAGTATGTTTAGTTACAAAAATGGTAAACCCTCCCTCTCCAATTTTCTTATAGCCCCATAATTTCGTGACGTCATGATTTCATGATTTCAGGTATTTCTTGATTGAAGCGAGGAACATGTAACAAAACAAAAGCAAGAACCTCAAAGCCTCAGCCCCAGCCCCAGCCCCAGCCCCAGCCCCAGCCCCAGCCCCACAATAAATTGTATTGTTGACCTACCTCTGCTCACATCTATCATCAGAGTGTGGTCTTATGTTCTAGTAATTGTTTGTTTGATTGATTTTATTTCTGCGTTAAAATAAAAGGGGGGGGGTGGCGCCCTAAAATGGTGAACCCTCCTTCTCCAATTTTCTTATAGCCCCATGATTTCATGATTTCAGGTATTTCTGGATTAAAGCGAGGAACATGTAAAAAAAAAAAAAGTAAAAAAAAACAAGAACAGTTTTGTTGTTGACCTACCTCTGCCCACACCTATCAACAGGGTGTGGTCGTATGTTCTAGTAATTGTTTGTTTGATTGATTTTATTTCTGCGTTAAAAAAAAAGTTCTAGTAATAGATACCTCAACGCAAACTTTTTTTCATGAATAGGTCGGTCCTTGAGGGCTAATGAGCCGTCAAAAGTGCTACCTGACGTCAAAGTATTTTTCAGAACAGTTTGCATTGTAATATTTCATCCAAGGTTACATTCATGTCAATTTCACCTTTTCTGTGACGTATGAGGTTGCCAATTTGATAACCATTCATTTTTACCTTTAACGATTTATGTAAAATTACTTCAAAAAGAAATTCATTAACAATCTTATTTTTGTCAAACTTTGATAATCCTATGTGTGATTCGGCAGTCAATCTAATGACGTAAGCTTGCTACAATATCTGACCAATTGTAGTTTTAATTCTTGATGGAAAGTACATCTCTGAAAATACTGCAAACGTTAAATTGGCAACTTATGAATATTTAATACCATGTATGAATTCGTACTCCCTCGAGTTGATCATATCCCTCTTCTCTGTGACGCCGTATGCACTGAACATCTCACGCTGCTGGGGCATATCAACTTATTCTTTGTAAGTATTTCAAAAGTTGTTTTCCTTTTTTAGACCTGTTTCAAATTTGTTTTTACCTAGGTATTCATTCAAGTTAATCTCATGCACACTGATATTCAGTCTCTTTATTCAAAGTTTGATTATTATGCTATCTCTCTCTCTCTGGTGTTGTCCCTCCACTTTTCGGAGATCAGCAAGTTTATCGCATTCGAAGTGGTAGACTGTGTTGAAAATATGCTATATAATCCTTAGTTAGAGGGTATGGAGTGCAGGCGATGGGCATGAATTCTGTAAAGAAAATGAAGTGTCATCTTTATAATAGAAGAAAGAGAATAGCGCAGATGGGAAGGGTCCTGGTTGTGAGCAGTGGTGTATTTGGTCCAGAGTCGATGACATTACGCAGGGGTCTGCTGACTCCTGACTCTGTCAATAAGGTCTTCCAATAGGTTGACAGTAATCGAGCAGGCAGCCACAGTATGTACGATGGTACAATTTGTGTTGGTTGCTTTCTTAATTTTGGTGAAGCGGGTTCTGGTTCGGTAGGTAGATGTGAGGAGCTGTGCTCTAATGGTCAGTGCCTGTCTGATTATTGTTGATGGTGGGCCTTTTGGGTAAAAGTTTCCTTGGGTTGATGGTTCTTCCATGCCAGAATGCGAGGGACGTCTTGGTGGCAGCTCTTTCCTGTGTAGCTTCCTCGACTGCAGCAGAGATTGAGGTCTTAACTCTGCGTTTCCAAGAGATGTAGGGAATGGGATTTGTAATTAGGTCATCAATGGTTGGAAGCTTGAACAGGCGACAGAATAGAAATGCATGCGCATGTCATAAAATTTATTAAGAAAATAGAAAAAAAATGAAATCAAACCGAGAAGAACAATTCAGTATATCCTGTAGACAGACTGCTATCAGGCAAGATACAGGTACATATCATTAATGTCCCACACGTATACATAACTTCAGCTGATTGTAAAGGTACTGTGATCTAGTGGATAAGTCACTGACTATGGATCACAAGATACGAGGTTCGAATCCCTGCCACAGAACGTCCTTATTATGTCCCATACGTATACATTGAAACTTGTCTATCAAGACCAGGCAAGGGAGACAAGAAAATTTGTCTTTATATGCAGGCTGTCTTTATATATGTACAAGTTTCTTTAGTACATGTTTCAATGCGAAAATATTTTCTAGGGAAACAAAAAATGTGATCTTTGTAGACAGGTGATGTATCCTTACAGGTTGTCACTAAAACAGGTTTGACTGTATGTATATAAGTTTACCCAATTATTGTCATTATTCTTGTTATTATTATCATTATAATAATTGTTATAATCAAAGATGACTTTGATTTGACAGTGGTATGTCCTCACTTTTGTACCTTATTGTCTGTTTTCATATAATAGCCCATTGAAACCGGCCTTCTTTCCATGGTGTTGCTTGGGGATTTCTGATATAGCAACTGCTTAAAATCTTAATGAATCTTGTGAGTGGGCATTGTACAAAAATATGCAATGCTATTGTGAACAGGTGGTCAGTTGATGGGAAGGGACATACCAATGTCTTTTGTTCATCTAGCTGACTGATGAATGAATGGCATGATGATGTCACAGAAGTCATTTGCTTTTGGTGGGTTATTTTTTAGGGATGGAGCGTAGCAGATAGAAAAAAAGTAATATAAGAAATTATGTAAAATATAAATCATATATCAAAAAGTCAAAAGATATGTGATGTATACATTATTACAGATCAACGAAAGTCAACATGAATTTGTAATTTAGTCACCCTTCAAGTAGAATGTGAGGAATCTATTGAAAAGCAGTGCTTGTATATTATAGGTTCAAGCCGATACTTTTAAGCAGCATCTATTATAGGTTCCTTTCAATAGGCATTAGAGACTTCTAGATTTACATGGACTTCTACGTGTGCCTTAAAAGGACGTCACACGTAGCAGTCCACGTTCTAAATCTTGATTATTTCTTGTTTGTTTTAAATATGTCATTTGATGTACCATTATCATTTGTATGTTCATTCGATGTATTTACATTGTTTCACACGGCCCCAATGGAAATCAGTCTTGTAACTGTTTGGGCTTTTTTTAACCGTGTATGAATAAAGATATCAATTCAATTCAATTCACGTTAATGTCGTCTTGCAAATTTAAAAGTCCCTATAATTGTAGATGTAAAGACTGTACCAGTAGAGAAAGACGTAGTTTAGAGGGACGATTTAAAGCACAGTGAAATAAGGACATTTGTATACAAGTGCATTAGGATCATGTACGTACAAAAAGCAATCAGTCAAATGGAGCAGTGTTAGTATTCTAATACCCTTTTCACATCTATTTTTCTTAACCCCGGACTATCCTTAACCCCATACTATCCTTAACCCCATACTATTTTTTTTGCTGTTCACATCTATTTTCTTAACCCCGGACTATGTGCTTAGCCGGGGTTAAGAAATTTCACGCGATTCACACTACGTTCGCCTTAGCCCCGGACTATTCGATAGCTCATGAATATTAATGCTTTTGCTACCGCGCATGCGCCTTTCGACTAAATGAAGGGGAAAAACCCGCGCGCTAAATTGCGCAAAGCGTTTTCCCTTTATTATTTTACCGATACAAATCAATTACCCATTTTTCATCCAATTCACTTGATAAATTTACCTACGTAAATATGACTGATAATGATAAATGCAATAAAAAATTATGAGCTACATGTTCTTTCACTATTTTTTAAAATCAATTTTATAATAAAGATTTTTTCATAATGACCTCTGCCTCGTAAAAGACTAAACGTCAATACAGAGAGCATGCATGCGTAACGTGAACTGCATGCATAGCGCGCGATAAATGCAAATTCACGACCACACGACCACGCTGTCTGTGATTGGCTGTTGCTTAGCCCCGCTTCTCCTTAGCCCGGTTCGGATTCACACTACGCAGCTTAGCACCACAATTGCCCGGCTAACCCCGCAATTGCCCGGCTAACCCTGCTATTTTGCAGGGCCAGATAGTCCCGTACTATTTGTGGGGTTAGCCCACTTTGGCAAAACGTAATGTGAACAGAAAGCCGGCTAAAATTACCCCGGGTAATTGGTGGGGCTAAGGAAGGAATTGGTGGGGCTAAGAGCCCCCTTAGCCCCACCTATTTCCCGGGGTTAAGCAATATTTGGTAGATGTGAAAAGGGTATAAGAAGTGGCCTTCGGAAATTTCAGAACAAACACTAATCCTTACAAAGTCAAAATTGAATTTGCATTCGCTCAAGCATTTCGTTCATCTTTTGTCGTCTGGCGGTAGCCGTGACGTTTCGTTCAGAATAACGATATTATTAGAATGTGATGGCATAGAAAGACATGACAATGAAAATCCAGTCGATACTATTGTGCGGAGGTATTTTAGAGTTTTCTTTTAACCCTTTCCCTCCTGGAGCCGTGTGGTCCATGTATTAAGCGAGAGAAAAATTTAGTCGTCAACAAGTTAATTAGCTCTTTTTTTTATAAAGTGTTATGTACATTCATTTCTTTATGGACAAATTATAAAGTTATTACAGTGGACTGGGGGGAAGGGGCGGGGGGGGGGGGGAGGGGGTCCATAACCCTCTTCTATGATGGCCATATAAGGGGGGGGGGGGGTAATATACGCCGTACAAACGTTTTTCAGACCATGAAAATTCGGGAAGACCATGAAAAAACAGGGAGATTCGTACGACGATTCGTACGAATCTCCCTGTTTTTCCATGGTCTTCCCGAATTTCCATTGTCTGAAAATCGTTCGTACGGTGTTCGTAGCAGTTCGTAATGGCATTTGTGACCGTAGCTTAACGTGGTGTATCTTTTTGTTTATCCGTCCGTCATCCTCAGTTTCTTTCCTGAAAATACAAGACGCCACCAACGATGGGATTTCGCAGACGGTTTATCGCCTTCACCGGGGCCGTTCAGATATTGCTCACTCTCGCCATGTTCACCATGACGTCATCCCTATTGAACAACTTCGGCAACGCCGCCGTTGGGACCCCAATGTGGGGTGCACTAATTGTGAGTGTTTTGTCTGGAAGAGAAGGTTCAGTTTCTATTTTTATTTTATTTCGGTTTAAAAAGACATATAAATATACATGATTCAAAGCTCCAAGGACCAAAACTGATCATGTTTACAAGTAATACAAAAAAGTTATATATACAGTAAATATACAATAGTTTCTAGCTGAGAAAAAATAATTCATGAGCTTTCTCATATTCCTCGTATTCGAAAAATATTAATAGATTAATCTTGAATTAAAAACATTTAACAAATCCTGAAACCTTTAGTACACATCTTTCTATCCTGTGATATATACAATGTTGCATAAGGAGAGATCTAATCGTTGTCTTATTCCTGTCTGGTAGATATTGATGTGCGGTGCTGCTAATATCATACTAGCCCTGGAGACACCTTCGACAAAGAGGAATACAGAAGATAGCATTTTAGCCGTAAGTAAACCAATAAGGGAGTTTACAGATAGCACATGGTACAAATGACCCCAAATATCCACAGATCTTTTACACATGGAGAAGTTCCACTTTGAGCATCTTAGAATAATAACTGCCAAAGTGCTTCATGAATACCTTTTGTTTGACTTCTTGAAAAGAATACTTCCACCTGCGTATCATAGAATGTACCGTTGGAGCATAAATGAATAATGTTACATAACTTTCATGAGCGCATATCCAGTATTCATCTCTGTGGGTTTTACAATTTTGGTACAAATGACCTTTATCTGCCCATGCGCAGATTGTATCTGTAAACTCCCTTATAGTTTACCATCACTAAGGATCGCGCCACTCGGCTTAACGCTTATAGTCGGCGAATAAAAAAAGTAAAAAGGGACTTTTAGATTCTGCACGACGAGAACGTGGACTGCCCTTTTGAGGCAATGTGACGTCCTTTTAAGGCATTGGCAGTGACGTCACATTGCCTTAAAAGGGCAGTCCGCCTTCTCGTCCTGCAGAATCTATAAGTCCCTAATAAAGGGTCCAGAACTAGACTAGTTAAGTGGAGGAGGTGCATGGGTGGGAGTCGGTATGTGTTTGGGTGTGTGTGTGTGTGGATGTGTTTGGGGGGGGGGGGGGGGTGGGTGTGCCCGGAGGCGTTATTTTTTTATGCGGCACAGATTGGGGCATGGCGCGTGTTAAACCTATGGGAAGTACGTTCTTTCCCTTCTGAATAGTGTCTGCACGTACGTGAGACTAGTCATGTTCGCTAGCGCATTAGCGCTGCGAAGAAGTTTGTATATCCATCGCGAACTATGTGTTTAGATAACATTCCTCTTTGTTTAAGTTTTATTGACTAATTATTGTGATGTTCTCCTTATTGACGTGCTGCCTCCTCTTCAGATTTCCAATTTGATTTTAATTGTTGATGTAATGATTTTCCATGCGGTAGTGGATTACATGTAACACTATTAAAAACAGACCTCTACTACTTATACTGTCTAGTATACGCACACGACCAGTATTAGTCTGTAAATCAAGACCCCTTTTAAAAAAAAGCCCCAATCTGTGCCGCATAAAAAAATAACGCTGCCCGGAGGGGTACCTAGCCCTCTATGGGTCATACTATGGGATAATACATTTGTCAACTGAGATGAATTTTCTGATAAACTCCGGAAGAGGAGGAGAAGACGAAGAAAAAAGAAAAAGAAAAAAAAAAGAATAACAATAAGAAGCAGTTTTAGTAGGAGAAAAATAAAAATAAAAAAGCGAAGAAGAAAAAAAAGAGGAAGATGAAGGAGAAAAGAAGAAGTAGAAGAAGAGGAGAAAAGGAAGAAGAAGAAGAAGAATAATAAGAAGAAGAAGAAGAGCGATGCGTTTTTGGTTGAAAAACTGTAGGGAGCATTATATGCGGGTATTCACGTTACTGTGTGTGTGTGTGTGTGTGTGTGTGGGTATGCATGTTTGCGTGTATTTCAGAAGTGATAAATGACACCTGGGACAGACTTTTAACGTCACCATCCGAAAAACGTGGCTTGGTTTCGAAGCTGGTCTGTTCAGAGTTTGTTTGCAGGCAAAGACAGAAAGTTGACGTATACCGATTTTACCTTTCATTTGCCACCAGTGCCAATGTGCACTGTTGCTCGTTTACCACGTTTGCAATTCGGCTCAAAACAATAGGCTCCTGACTTGAGGATAGCTTTGTGCAAGACAATGGATTTTTTAAATTGTCTGATTAGCTACATTACGACCCTTTAACACGTAACACCTCTTGCATTGGAAACAAGTTTTATCTATCCTATGATAATTATATTCAGTATTGCACATGGAAATTGTGTGTAAAGTATGGGAGAAAAATATTAAGGGATTTGGAGGATTTGGTCTCTTTTTAAATCCTCAAGTGAGAAGAAAAAAAATCAACAAATTTCTACCAAACAAATAATTCAAATGTTATTATCGCTTTCTCACAGACAAACTTCAACTTGGGTACTGTCTTCGCAAACCTGACTGCCTTTATCGTGTCTGCCACCATCCTGGCCCTCTTCTCATGGGCGCTGTCGCTGAGCACCTCTTTTGATGCATTGGTCGTTCCCTTCTCGACCATCGTCCTCGCCGCCACCCTCATCTGTCTCTTCTCCCTCTTCGCCCTCTTTGCTGACTGCTTCTCCGCGTTTTGTGCGAGTTCCCCGAAACAGCATCACCAGGTAAATTAAAGCCCATCTGTACTAGTTTGGCCAGGGGGATTAGACCTCCCTGCAAGGTCACTGACAGGTGGTTATCTCATCAAATCAGCTCTCAATTGACATAAGAAAAAGGGGATCATGGGGACCAACAGGCACCGAGTAGGCATTGTTTGCTATATAGAGGGCGCAAGTTCCCATACGTAGTGCAGTGGGGCTTTAAAGGACAATCGAAAAGACTTTCGAGAAATCAAAAGTCAGCACGTTCATTTTCATTGTGTAATCTAATTTCATGCGCAACTTTTTGTTAAGTGCCATGTTACAAATTATTTCGTTCACTCATTACGAATTATTGTATTTCAATAGCCAGAAGGCGATTTTACATATATTACGTGTTGTAAGGAAGGACAAGCCCTAATGTATGTCCTATGTAGCAACAAGTAATGTATGCAAATCTCATTCTGACTATTGAAGTACAATTATTTGTAACATGTGAATGAAATAATATGTTTTGTAAGATGGTGACGTGGATCCTAATCAAATGATTGATTGAGAGCGTACACGTGACCAGGCATTTATTTTGCCTGACACGTAATTTTGATAATGACCGGTCATTATCAAATGCTAATGACTGGTCATTAGTAGAACTATGTTATAAAACAAATAATACACATCAGTGAGGGCATTAGTAAAAATTACCCACGCTCGGGACCTTCAAAACAGTCCAAACACCAACGGCTATCGCCTCGGGCGTATTAGACTGTTCCAAAGGTACCCCGTATGGGTAATCTTACTAATGCCCTCACTGCTGTATTATTGGTATAGCAGGGCAATTAATAAAGATTTATTCATTTAAAACATTACGAAAATTGTGTATTTCAATGCGGTCCCTAAAGCAATGTTGGATATGCGACGTTAAACCGCGGTGCGTTTTTTAATGATGACGTGATGAGTGTAATACACTTCATCTTTATGTGGGAGACACCTTGTCCGAAGATCCTCTTGTATGAGAGCCTTCACTATTTTACCACAGTGATCCAGCAATTTGCAATGAGCCTTATCTTTCTATTTTGTTTTCGTAAAATATTAAGTAACCCCTTTTTTCTTCTTTTTCTTTTCTCACCAGTCGTCTCCACAGGGACCGTACGTTATGGACTATGAGGGGCCTCCTCCTCGTGGTATTCCAAACCCCGCCTTACAAAGAGTTATGATTGATCAACATCAATCCCAGTTCCTCACATCGAGCGCAGGTTTGCGTTCTCCTATGGCGCAGGTACCTAATTACTATTGATATCAATGGCAAATAAGTTGCAATTGATTCAAATTAATCGCAAGTCCGCGCATCAATCGCAAGTTTGCGTTCTCCCATCTCTTATGCACCTAATTACTATTGATATATATCGCAAATAAGTTGCGATTAATATCACCTCTTCGTAAGACGGACCCCTATGGCCTTATAATGCATCAAATTGGCAACGTCAACATACAGAGACCCAAGATGGTACTGCTAGCTGTATTCAGTTAATTAACAATACAGATAACTTTTAATATGATTTTGGTATATGGGCGGTCTCCAGTTTTCTATTCGAAATGCAAGGCGGGAGAGGGGGGGGGGGGGGTGCTTATCCCTTTATACAGTTAGCCCATGAGACCGACTGATGATAAATAAATATTATTAAAAAAAGGGAAGGCAGAAAACATTAACAACAACAATCAAACTTTACACTGACATAAAATATGCTTTCATAATATGGCTAGAAAATAGGGTATTAATAAAATAAACCATAATATCTAGACATTCATTTTATATGTTCTGAAAACTGTTATTTCAAAATGTCGCAGAGCGTTATTCGGAAATGATTCTGTAAAAATAGCGCTGTTAGGAATCTTAGCAGTGTAAATATAAAGATTACATGCGTTATATACCTATACAAAAAGAATATTATTAAGAAACTTGTACAGAAAGAATAGAAATAAATTACTTATTTTGTTTTAGTAAGTTGGAATGTAGATGCAATACTAATGGCTGCTTTCGAGATTTAGTTAATTCTTTTCCTAGTACATGTACATGGTAAACTCCTTTACGATAGTGAAAAAACTTTTGACAATGTATTGTTACGGTAAAAATGGCTACGCAACATCGACGTATAATTATAACGATATTAAAAAATCGCCTTTTGTAGTGTAAATGGGTCTTAGCAAGAATTTCTCTTGATATTTGTCCTCGTATCTACACATAATTAATAGGGTTTTTTCTCAATATATAATGACTTCATTAGTATGTAAATATCCACCGGAATAAGACATAAACAGCATTAGAAAAAACACCAGACGTCATGATGAATAACTTGGCATTCATTCATTGCCTTTATTGCTGCTTTTTGGAACCATGTTTTATTGTGTTAAAATGGGGAACTGGTTGTTTTCAAAACACAAAGTTTAGATAAGTTTTTAATCTTGTAAATATTTTAAAGAAATTTTAAAAAAAAATGGCGAGTGTACTTTGACTTGTATACTTCTTAAGAGTATATATTCATATTTTTAGAACATAATCATTTGTTAACTCGGTAGTCGATACGTATTATATAGTAAATTATCCAAAGCAGATTGTTGTTATAGTTTGTATTCAGTTATATTTTATGAAAAGCATTACAATTTGATTATTTTTTTAATGGTGCATGATAATGGAAGATTAAATAAAATTATATATGTGTCTTATTATGAATCGTGTAAACTTCACGTAATAAATTTCAAACAATTTATCGTTGATTTATCATATATACCGAAGAGAGAAGTTTTGATAGAGAAAGGCAAATGGAAATAGCAGCGAGAGAGAGAGAAAGAGAGAGAGAGAGGGGGAGAGAGAGAGAAAGAGAGAGAGAGAGGGGGGGAGAGAGAAAGAGAGAGAGAGAGAGAAACAAACAGATAGAGGAGCGGGAAAGTGGAACAAGATAAAGAAAGATATAAAGAGGGGTGGAGAGAGAGAGAGAGAGAAAAAAGAGGATGTATATATATAATACGTATTTACTACAGAGAAAGAGAGAGAACAGTGAAGGAGAAAGAGTAGAAGGGTGCAGTCGATCACGAAGATATTAGGGACTTTTAGATTTGCACCAAGACAATAGGTCTATGCTACGATCGAAGACCTTTTAATGCACTGCCCTAAATGGACGTCACACGTATCAGTCCAAGCAAATCTAAAAGTCCCTAATATTGTTCAGTAAACACAAGATGTTGTACATGATGTATGTATTCTTAAACTAACTAGGCTAGTAAGCATGCCTAAAAGCTCCGTAAATACCTTACCCCTCTATTGCAACATACAGGTCTGGAAAACTGTTTTCAAAAACATCCTGGTACTTTAAAAACAATCGATACCTCCGATTACTTTCCTCGTATACTTTCATGAATCCACTGATATAATTCAGATAAGTTAATTGTTCATTGATCAAATAGGAGTTGCTGAAATCAATGTTACAAGCATGACTGATTCCCTGGTATGTTTGTGGACAGTGGGTTCAATCCGTTTGTTAGTTTTTTTTAGATTCGGTGGTCCGACGTTTTCTTCCGCGACAATTATTGCACCGTGCTTCATTTCAGCAAAGGTACAAGGGTAGGTTATGGTTACAGCTGGGTGTTAGGTTAGGACCCTGGTTAGGAGTAGGGTAAGGATTGTGGTAAGTATTGGGTCCATTAGTGGTGGAATTTTCCGCCGATATAAATACCGGCGCATTATGTGTCGTACATAATCTGAGGGTCATATTATACGATTTTTTTTTTGACAAGTAGCTATCTAGTCTATTTTTGAAGAAGTTCACTGCTCAAAGAGGACCGTCCACTACCTTTTCCGGTAGCCGCAGCCGGAGCCACCGCTGTCTCTGAAAACTTACACCCATGCAGTAGCGGTTCTAGAGAGTGCTTGAACGGGGGGAGGGGGGGGGGGGCTTTAATGTTAAACCCTTCGGATAAAATGTTCTTATAGCCCCATTATTTCTTGATTATAAATGGATTTAAGCGAGAACATGAAGTCAAACCCGAGACCCTCTAAAACCCCGCCCCATTCCACAGTCAGTAGGGACCTTTAGATTTTCTCGACGAGAACGTGGACTGCTACGTGTGACGTCCTTCAAAGGCACTGTGACATCTTTTAAAGGCACTGTTTTAATTCCACTATGTCGACGTGCAAATCACTGCCAGTGCCTCATAAAAGGACGTCACACGTTGTAGTCCACTATGTCGACGTGCAAATCTAAAAGTCCCTAATATCGTTCTAGAACCCTTCCTGTGCACACCTCTAATCAGGGTGTGGTCTCATGTTCTAGTAGTACATATCCCAACGCAATTTCTTTTGTTAATGAATAGAGCAGACTTTGAGAGGGGTCTGATGAGCCCTCAAAAGTGCTTCTCGGCATCAAAGTATCTTTAGAAAAGAATCGGTCATTCATCCAATCGCCTTTGTTCGGCATAACCCACGCATTTTAAAGAAAATATCGAGTTCCGGTAGAGGTCAGAAATAATTGGTGAGCTTTCTTATTCATTTGGTGATAGTTTGGTAGAATGTCATAGAAGAAATACCCCCTAATAAAGAATTGCTCGTCAAATGTCCTCGTATTCGAAATACATGTAGCTGGAAAGTTTTGACCCAAGATTCACGTCTTCATAAGTGTGTAGTCCGAAATTCACACGTCTGTGTACAGTGCATATGACTTCCAGAAAGTATAAGTCAATTCAACAATTTGATGTTAATATAATAACTTCACATGAGGCTATATACACCAATTCGTATGCACTGCATAATCAATCTTTCCAATAATTATTGATAAAAGACATTTTCTTTCTCAATGTTTGTTTGATTTTATTTCTGCGTTCAAAAAGATACAAATTCAAATTCAAAGTACAAATATTCGAGCAATAACAAAATAATGCAGTGAATAAAATGTTTACAAAAGAAATTAACTAGAAAATTATGTACAATTATATCATACAATAAACATGTACAAAGCACACAAATAAAATAAGAAATATACAGTAAATGTATTGACTGCTCGACGAGAACTCCACTTTATCTTTAACCGAACGTCCCATCTTGACCAACAAAAGACATTTCGATCTGGTTCGCGCATTTTAACAAAAGCCTCAAAGAAAGGGCGTCAACTAATCTCTCAGCTCGAGTAACGTTTTCATTCTTTACACTAATCTCGACTCTCGTAAGAATGTATAGATAAATACGATGGTGTCTTGCGGCGTCTTCGTATACTTTCGTTATCTATCATATACACAATCGTACACACCACACACACACAGAGACACAACACTCACACACGTACGCACAGGAGCTATTTACTTAGTACTACGTAAGAAAGCCATCTGGAAATGGTGTATGGATGAAAGCGAAGTTTGTGGAGAAACTTTCCAGATTTCATTTCGTTTCTATTAATGTCTGCATTGTCTGAAGGCGTAGCCGGCTGACCAAAGGAAAATATTCGGAAATACTCCAACAGAAAAGACTTTCATCGCCGTGGAACCTATCTTCTTGACATATTTGGTAAGACATTGAATTTCTTAATTTTAATACGTACACTGCTCGCCTATATGATGTCATGGTGTGTTGCAATGCAGCACACTCCGTTATACCTTTTTCTTTTGGAAATCACATTTCATCTTTTTTTTCTCAATAACGGTTAATAAACCTACATGTATTCAAGAACGTACATTACACTGTACATACAATGTGTAGCCGCTGACCTCCGGCAGAAGTGGAGGAGGAGGAGAAGAAGAATGTTGAAGAACTAGGGGACAAAGGAGGAGAAGAAGGGGTTAAATAGGAGGATCAGATATATTAGATCTTCCACAGCACTGTACATATATATCTGAACAACCTCAAAGTACGAAGATACACCAACAACAACAACAACACAGCTGCATACCCTTATCCTTTATTTTATACGCAACCTTCACACAACCCGTCAAAATCTACTTAACGACCTATAGAAAGCCATTTATGTAACTTCGGCAGACTCACAGTGCCGACGATCTCCGACCTGAGCGGAGGAAGGATACAAGAGAGAGAGGTACGTGGCCTGTACTTCAACAGAAGAAGGAGTAGAAAGAGCTGAAGAAAAAGAGAATTCAGAAGAATGAACAAATACAGTACGAGAATACACCCGACGGTGGCCTGTACTTATAGCGAAGAAGAAGAAGAAGAAGAAGAAGAAGAAGAAAAAGAAGAATGATAAAAATAAAAAAGGGAATAAAGAGAAACTAGATCAAGGAGAAGAAGAAGAGAAATCAAGAAGAAGAAAAAGAGTCCCTCCGAATTTTTTGAAGATGATAGAAGGCATTATTCACATTTATTTAGAGTAGGAAAGACAAACAAATCAAAAGGGTTTCTCTTATGGAAGACTAGGTGGTATAAAAATACTTGACATACCAGGCAATTGTTCAGCTTCCGACTGATTAATGGCTGGGTAGATTTTTTTCAATGGGATTTATGGAGCGTGGAAAACATTATTTTCGTATTGGTTCAACTTGTTGGGAGGCATCAATTTACTATGGTACTGCTCGTATTACTCTTATGATATTCTAGTTCAAAAGAAAAT